GGTCCGTATGATAAAAACAGTGCCTCATAGTACTGTTTAACCTCACTGTGATGTACAAATGGTATAAAAGGTTGGTTTACACGCACCCAGATTTGTTGGCAAGATTTCGCGAAGTAAACTTGTCGAACGCAAAAAAATTGGCCTAATTTTTTGTCCAGGCCTAATTAATCTACGGTGATCAAGAGCCATTATGGCTCTTAAATGTAATCGAAGATGTTTACCAGTTTTTGGATGTACATATGAGGCTATGAACTCGATGTAAGTTTTGGTCACTCTTGGGCTGTTTGCAAATTATTTTTCCCTAAATCACGTACACTTTCCCTCAAAAGTCAAATAAATGTGCTCTAAAGTAAACTTAATTGTGGAATACAAGTTTATTGTTTGATTTAAATCTTAAATTTATTAATGGGAGCCTCGCTTTTAACCCTGGCTAAACATATATATTGATTACAATAGACTGGTCCGCAAGGTAGCAATTGATAGAATAAAGGGAAAGGAAAGAAAGGGAAGGAAAATATTTTAAGTTACAATAAATCATGTTTCTATCATAGTTTTATGTTAATTACATTAAATCTAAGGAAAAGCGAAAAACATTTAATTTTGTACAGAAATCACTTATTTTTACTGTTGATCCAGCTTTTTCAATTGTTAATGACGTCTCAATATAGTCATCTTCTCTTTTTAAGATATCGGAAAGCAATCTGTGACGTGAAGCACTTTCGTAAATTCCTTTTTAGGAAGATCTCTAATATGACAAGGTATCTCATTCCAAAGTAATACGCCAAAACGAGACAAGTAGCGTAAAGGAGTTTTTGTGTATTTTCAGCTTTGAGCTTTTAACGTGAAAGTTATATGAAGTAGATGATAGTGTATGAGTATGAATGAATTGTTGAGGTTTTTTCAAATAAATTTGAGAGATTTGTTGGCGAATTGTTGCTGTTAATATCGTGCATTAGACTAGCTACAGTTTTATAATACATAAATGACACTGGTAATATGTCAGCGTCGAGAAATAGAGGAATTGCGTGTTCACGTATATCCGTAAAATACATCATGCAAAGCACTTTCTTTTGGAGAATTAGAATTTCATTGAGGGAAGTCTTGGATGCCTCATCCCAGGCAGCGAGACCAAAGTTTAGGTGAGGGTGGATTAATGTTTGGTAAATACATATATATGAATATGACGAGGTAGGGAGTGCCGAAGTTTTGAAATAAGTCCAATATTAAACGCATTTGTGATTTTTGCCGTAATAGCGTCAATGTGATATTTCCAAGTAAGGTTTTTATCAACTAACACACCAAGACATTTAATAGAATTTTTGGACTCTAGAGTAACATTTCCATTTTTCCCGTTTTTTTTTTGTTTTTTTTTTTTTCTTTCCTTTTTAAGCTTTAGATTGCCCAGCTGGTTGGAATGAATTTGAAGGCTCCTGCTACAAGGTTTTGGAAAAGATTGGTTATTTGCGGAAATTTTCATGGTCGACAGCCTTAAACGTGTGTTACGGGTATGGAGGAGGCCTTGCTAACATATCGAACGAAAAAGAGATGGACTTTGTTCGTAACCTGTCCTCTAAACACAGAAGCGATCCTGTTTGGATTGGACTGGCTTATCGGTTTCAGAAAGGAGCATATTTATGGAGCAATGGGAGTTCTTTTAACAGTTCTGTTTCCGGTAAATGGCATGGCGAATTAGCAAGAAATGTATCTGAAAACCGCGAATGCGTCGAAATCTTGGGAAATGGTTCGAGTCTTACCGACTGTTGCAAGGAGAACAAATATTTGATCTGCGAGAAAGCGAAAGGTGAGTTGCCTCAGAAAAAATTTATATGACAGCGATGCTCGTCGAACATTCTACATGTATATGAGGAGGGGTGAGGAAAATTTGTGGACTGGGCATCACTCAGAGGGCTACAATCCAAAATGACTGACATTCGAGTTGTTAAGCTATCTGTTACGTGCATTGAGTCAGTTAATAAAAGTGAACTTTTTTTCACTCGTGCAAAAGAATTCCCAGCAGGTTAGCATGCGCAGAAATTAGTGCATCTACATACTGAAGATACTGGGTTCTATTTTCTTCTGAGAAGCTCAGGTATTTTTAATTCCCCCATCCACAGTATAATTATATTTTCATTCATAACGTTTTGTAAGAATTGATTCGATTTTGTAGAACCGGTATCTCTTTGGGTCAACACGAACTTGATACGTTGTAAGGGTGTTTCGAAACTCCGAGAAGTGTTCATCATTTTTAATTAAGTCCAAAGGTTGAAAAAGGTTTAAAACGTCTATCATCGACAAATTTGTCAAGCTGCCTCTTTTTTAGTTAACACACCCGTTTGATTTCACTCTGATCATGTCAAATTTTCTTTTCTTCTGTGACCCAAATATAAATCGCAGTTCAGTTTCGCCCCATATGAGGTTATCCGCATTGCGGAATCCGGGAAATTAATTTTTGCCCGTGGAACCCGGAACTTGCTTTGGAACCTGAGATCCAGCTCACTCTGTAGTGCTCTACTAACTGAGCTATGAAGACCCATGCATTGGAACCAGGCCAATTTGTCGAGTTCATCTTAACCCGTGAAAGGAATGAAACTTAGAATGAAGATGATGTGAACCGCGAAAAGACAAATTTAAATGAAGACATTGCAATTATCATTGCGACGATCATATCTTAAACCAAGAGAGGATAAAGGGGACAGAGAAGGCATCCTCAATACACACCCTATTCCATAGGTAATTCGTCTCGAGTTATTTTTAAGACCACAGATCCCAAGGGGGATTAGACAACAGCCAATCACATAGCGCGAATGTGTTCCGCGTGGATGACCCACGTTCAGAGACACGCGTCCTTCACGAATTGAGGCAGAAAAAAATGGCGGAAGACGTGGAGAGCAATATTGCTATTTGTTTTCTCGACGAAAACGACTAAAGAGAGATTTCTGCTAAAGCTGTGTCAGCGAAACGGACATTAAAAGAGAATCGCCCGTCCTCTCTTGTATAGAACTAACAGTACAGCAGGGAAATCCTTAACACAGTGAATATTCTCTCAGGATCATTTATAATTTACAGTTTGAAGAGAGCAATTTCTGGTTTGATATTTATTCTTTTATTAGTCTTTTATTATTCAGCAAAAATAACATTCGGCGTCCTATAAAAATAATAATTTAATAACTTCTAGAGCGCTATTTACATTCACTGATCAACAGCGCTTAACAACTTAAAAAAACTACAATAAAATTCCTTTTTGTAAAACTAATTACATGTACATGAATATTACTTGCTACTTGCTTTATTGTACAAACGACCGGTTTCAATAGACCTGCAAAATTTCTCATTTTATTAAAGCACTGAGGTTACGATAACTTCGAGTTAAACTGATTTCACGGGTTGTCAAAGAGTCGAGCGATTCCCTTTTCCCAGGTGAGCGCCGACTCATTTCGCTTCAATATTCAGAAATGCTCTCGATCTCTTTACGCTTTCATTGCCTTTCGCCCGACATGTTTTGCATGGCGTTTAGTCATGCGAAACCTCCACGAAACATCCACGCAGCGCGCGAGGTAACTTTATCCCGATTCTAAAAATAACTCGAGACGAATTACCTATGGAATAGGGTGTGTATGGGGGATGCCTTCTCTGTCCCCTTTATCCTCTCTTGCTTAAACTTAATGTATTAACGATGAGTTTTACAGGTAACCTATTCATTGAATATATATTCAGTTACTACGTTTTTATTTTACTATTTTGGCCCATTAACTAGGCGCCCTGGTTTGTCCTTCGGACTGGTTCTTCAGTGGATCATCTTGCTATCAGGAAAACAAAAAAGATACTTGGAACGGGGCAAAAGAAGGCTGTATTGAGTCCGGAGGCAATTTGGTTGAGATAAATGGCTCTTCAAAGCACCAGGTTTTGACTCGTTTCCTACAAATTTCAGGTGTAAAGGAAGCGAAAATAGATGTAAGTACGCGTTATTTAATTACTGCACTTATCACCAGGTGTAAAAATCATCAACCGCAATGACATGCTTACCCATCTTCTTTCTGTGTCAAGAGTTGTACATTGTTTTACTAATAGTGAAACGTATGTCAACCCAAACCGGGCTTTGTAAGGGCGGGACCCTGTAGAAGTTGAGGACATCTAGCACATCGATAATCTTTAACAGAAGTAGTGTCGTCATGCGTGATGAAGTCATATATACGCGTATGCCAACTTATAAGTATCATATCTCTAGATATTAAACAAAGAAAGTTTCGCGGTCATACCTTGAACAGATTCGAAGTAAGCCGGTCTGAATAGATTTAAGAAAGTTTGATAAAAGGCACAGCGGCATACTATTAAGGTGGCTAGCAGAGGTTTGCAGCATTTCTTCAGAACTTTTACATTAAGGATTTTTCATTTGATGCTACTACAACTGACAATTTAGCTCTGTATTAGTTTATTTTGGCCAGTTGGTGCAATGATTAAGGATCGGCTTTGTTATATTTTTTAAAAGTTTTAAAAACTTAACAACTAGGATTTAGTAAACCGACACACTAACCAAATGCACTGAACATCACTCAAAAAGACAACGTAGTGGGCTTGTAACTAGGAAAAAAGCAAAACAAAACAAGGAAAACATTTTGGAAAAGAAAAGTCACCGCTACAAAACAGTCCTTTTGGTGGTGCAATTCTGATTGCCTTGAGGCACCTTGAGGCAAAGTATATGTACATGACATTAGCCAATTATGGTCAGCCTCTAATCAGCCGTGAACCTTGTCTAAATTAAATCATTTTATTTTATTATTTTATTTTATCATTTATCGTTAGGTATCATGTTACTAGTCTTATTTGTGGGACACACCTCCTTAGGGGGCTTATCACAGAATTATAGCATAGACGTAAAGAAATTGGCATTACGTAAGTTATTTCTGGGAGACCATGGTCTCTTGATTTTTCTATGACCTTTCTCTTGACCCATTTTCAAGTACGTGTGGATTGACAAAACCGGTGACTCAAAATGTATCCGAATGAAGACAGACACTGGAAGGATGGAGGAGGGCAACTGTGAAGATCTACAGAACTATGTTTGTGAAAAGCCAGCCTCAATAAGTAAGTAAAAATCTTGTTAGAATATAATTGGATATGTTCGGATTTTATTTAGGTCCGAGGGAGTTTCTCTTACAAAGGGAATGGGATTCTCGATAGTCTCGTTTAAGAGTGTACGGTGGAGCCTGTATTAAGCGGCAGCGTATTAAGCGGTCACCCTCTATTATGCGGTCAGTTTTCAAACTCCCGAAAATTACTTCCCTTGATGTACTGTAATTTCCACCTCTATTAAGCGGTCACGGTCACCATTTGCGAAGTCCCAATGGGACTTTTTCTATTGTCTTGACCTGTATTTAACGGTCACACGGTGTCAATTACTTGTTCACCAGTTTCAACTGAAGGGGCCGACCATTTAACTCTTGAGGGGGTGATTTTGAAAAAAAATTTCCTGCAAGCGCTTGTCGGAAGAAAAATATTGCATGCAGCACAAATGTAATAAAGAGCTTAAGGGAAAAAAAGGGAAAAAAATATCCTGCCCACCATATTGCTAGAAAAAAAAATTCTTGATGACCAGAAATCACCCACCCCCACCCTCAAGAGTTAAATGGTCGGCCCCTAATGAAACACACGAGGTATAACAATTGATTTCCTTGTTTGTTTTCGCAAATCATTAAAAACCCGGAAATGAATGTTTCTATTTGAGGTCAAACGTCTGATCTGATCAGCACTGGAGATCCAATTCGAATTTTTTGAACTGTTTTTCTTGCAACCTGTATTAGGCGGTCACCCTGTATTAACCGGTCACTTAGCCATTCCCCGAGGGTGACCGTTTAATACAGGTTCGACTGTAATTTGAAATTTTGTTATCCCCAGTGTATGGTTGACGAAATCATGTGTGCCCAATAATTTTACATTTACATACTGATAAAACTAAAAAAACTAAAAAAAAACTAATTAAGTCATTCATTAATAAACAGAGTTAAAAATAAATAACTTAGCTAAAAAAATATGTGTGTGCACTTCATTTGCTATTTTACAAGATTTCCGAGTGGGAAACTGATGATTAAATCACGCGTTCTATTTCCCTTTTGAATTGCTCTTTTGACTAGATGTTTGTAACATATTCAGGTAAAAAATTCCGGCCACAATTGGGCCCCGCTATAGCCTGCGAACAGAAGACGCATTTCCGGTCGTCGCTTCTCTCCCTCCCAATGACTTTTCGGAGGGAGAGAGGCGATGACCGAAAATGCGTCTGCTGTTCGCAGGCTAGCCCCGCTATAGCTAAAGCTACGCTTTAGATAATTGGTGCGGTGGCTTGAGCAGAGTTAGCTTACCGCTTAGCCTGCAAAACAAGCGTTTTTGCAGTGTGATCCATGATTTTTTTCGGAAATTTTTCGGCTCCGTACGAAAGCGCCCGACATCAAAACGACAACTGTCGTAGATCGATCTTACCCGTTCCGAGATCAAGAAGTGCCTAGCGTGCATCGTGCCCAGAGCTTTTGATGTTATGATTTAGTCGGTCTTTCACAGGACGATAAGTTGCCTTCATGTGGACTTTGAATGTTTCAAATTAGCACTCATGGCCAACTTTTGCAATTGGAGACTGACGAAGGGATCAGCCGTTGCTCTTGGTCTCCTCGTGAGTCTCACAATTTTTTTAACTTTTCTCACTACAAGACCCCCATTTTCATGTTTTTCAGGAAAATATCATCTTGAAATGAAATGTTTGTTGTTGGTTCTCTCCTTTGCTCCGAGAGGTTTTTCTCTGGGTACTTGGGTTTTCCACTCTTCTCAACTAACCAACATTTCCAAATTCCAATTCGACCAGGAATCAGGTAGACGAAGAACCACTTTGTGGATGTCCTACCTCTAAATCATTATTTATTTCTTTATGTTTTGCGCGCTTCTCCTTTGTTCATTTCCAGATTATCTCTGAAATACTGCCGCTTAGCTACTTTAATGACATTATTTATCTCATACCTTTTTCTTTCACCAAGCGTAGTGACCTTGTCAGATATTCTGTATCTAAAACACCCACGTGGTGGGGCGACTACTCTCTCAATTATCCTGCATTTTTCCACAGGTCGTATTTGTTATCAGTACCCAAACAAGAATTCATCGGTTCCCATCAAAACCAGCTGCTCATTCCCAGAAAACCTTTGTTTCAAATTTGACAAAAAAACGGAGGATAACGAACAAGTCACCGTTCAAGGATGTATAACCGCTGAACAATGCAGACAGCTTGATGACGAACATTTGCAATGTTGTGAGGGAGATCTTTGTAATAATAGTAAGTGTCATGGTTATAGAAACGCAAAAATTTATTAATTTAGGCGCACTCTGAGATTTTGACAATGTTCCAAACCAGAGACAAGTTGGTTCAAAGTTTTTGAATCATGATGATGAGGAGGAGAAAACTGATCGGAAAGCAAATATGGTGTACTCCTACTGAATTTTTTTTCTTTCTTTTGATTATAATGCTTCTATTTCGCAACTTGTAAGCCTTCGGTCAATCTCAGCTACGGAAGGATCAAAATAGGTGGGTGTCAAAAGTTGTTCAGTGATGACACAGCGGGTTCTTCGTGATACACTGTAAGTCTTCGGCTATTTGAATTTGTGCTTACCCAATTTGTAACGGACTAATTTCATTAGGTGTTTTTGCCATATTTTGTGGTTGCACAAAATCAAAGGGAATTTACATGTAGTTCCTCTTTTTGTGTAAATGCCTTCGCATTATGACTGGATCGTATAATTACAGAGGACACGAGTGTACAAGCTCAGTTAGCCAGGTAAGACCCGCTTTTGTCCTCGCCGAAGCGCAGTGGATAAGTTCCACTGTCAACAAGTGACATTGTAGTAAGAGAAGAGGTGTTAGCACTATATAAGCTCTAACATGCCTGTACCCCTTTTAACCTGACCGCATATTATTGGAAAAAACTTCCCCACTTCCATTTATAGTACAGTACCTTTGATCACAGTGTGATATATTTATTTTGTTTGCAGTCATAGAAACCACGACTCCCGCATCTGCACCAGAAACCACGACTGCCGCATCTGCACCAGAAACCACGACTCCCGCATCTGCACTAGAAACCACGACTGCCGCATCTGCACCAGAAAATTCCACTGTCATTAACAAAGTTATTTACATTTCACTTGGTGTCACGTCCGCTATTTTGCTGTTGTCGGTCGCTATTTTCGTCTGGTGCTACAGAAAAAGAAAGACTACTGAAAGGTTTGTAGAGCCCTGCTAATGCGTAGCTGGCGTTTTTTTTTTGTTTGTTTGTTTGTTTGCTTCTGTTTTATTTTCAGTGGTTTGGTAAAGTAAGAGATTCAGCCGCACGAAAGCTGAACCGAGGACGAAAAAGAAATGATAGGGAAGGGGGCGAGGGGAGAAGTAAGTGAGAAAAATCTCCTGTACTAAACCCCTTGAGATTTTTAAAACGCCCCTTCCAGTTTTTATGAAAGGATGATGTGACATGTTTTGAGGTCTGACGTCATGCAACCGACAAAATGTCGCGCCAAAGGTTTTTTGTTTACGATCTTTTAATGCTTTTTTATTAGCGCTTTCCCGGTAATTATTCTCCCCCTCGCCCCATCCCCCATCGTTTTCTGTTTCGACCTCGGTTCAGCCGCGTTTACGCGGCTGTAACTCTAATATTACTTTGCAAACCACAAAATAAAAAAAACACACCAAAGAATCTCCAGCTATGCTAGCTACATAAATACAGAAATAAATCTTACACTAAGGAAAGCTTTCATTTTGTCTTTTTATCTAAACGTAGCGATTAATCTTCGTTCCACGTGGCGTTATTGGCTAAATTACATCACTTGTCAACAAAACCTGCCAAGATGACAGATAACTTTAACTGGAAGTCAAAACCATAACTTAATTTGCAATTCTTGTGAAAAATAATCAAAGAAATTTTTTCATTGTCGAATGATGCATAGAAAAAAATGAAAAATCTCAAGAATACTCTGATGAAGAGGAATTTTGCTTTTTAGATATGCCTAAAGTGAATTAGAATTGAATAAATTCTTTTTTTTTACTCATTGCTTGTGAAGGATGGTGCCCTTGACTGAATCGTCCTTTAAAAAAAAATCAGTTTCTTTTATCCCCACTCGGCTATTTTGATGTAGCCTTTTTTTTTTTCACGCGGAGAACATCTCAGCTTCAGCCATTATCCTCCGATGCACCAGTAGCCAGGTGCCATAATTTTTGTTGTTAGTAAAGTTTACAGATATGGGAGTATATGTTACTATAATATTGTGCTCAGCGTAATAATCTGGCACTCTTTTTTTTTCCCCTTTTTCTAGGTCATCTTATTCACAAGACGAGATTACTCCTCCTGACAAGTGGCAAATTCTGCCTGAGCAAATAGAGTTTGAGGAAGAGCTGGGGAGAGGAGAATTTGGTGTTGTTTACAAGGCAACCTATAGAAAGAGTGACGAGATGGAGGCGTTGGTCACTGAGACTTCAAAATGGCCCGTATCAACCAGGAAGCCGAAAGCACCACGGCTGGTGGCTGTCAAAGTTATACATGGTAAGAAATACTGACTGTTATCTCCATAGACAAAGGCATAAAGTCTTAACTACCTTTCAGTCCTCTTCATACTACTCTAAGAACCCTTTTGGATTTAAGTAACTCTTTGGGAACTTTAAGATCTCAACGCAATTTTAACAGAAAAAAAAGAAAACTCGACTCTCTTCGAAGACGTGATCGCATGATATTAAAACAAATTACACCACCTAAAGACATTGCATTTTTAAAATCGGGATTGTCTCTCGCTGGTGAAGAGCACAGCAAAGTTGGAAGTGCAAGTAATTTGTGGTTTCTTTATTCACTATGTAAGTGTGAAAAAAATAATAAAGGCTGTTAATTTCCAAAAAGTAGGTTTAAGCCTATTAGCTCTAAACAAATGCATCTCTTAAGAATTTACCTTTCCCCAAAACCAAAAAAAAAGTAAATTGATCTACAGAGCCTGAATTAAAGCCAACAATGAAAATAATTTTTAGCAAGCAGCCTCTAGTCAATACATGTATGGCAACTCTTTCTGAAGGATCGGATGTATTTGATTATTCTGTCTCCCTTTTTTGTGACCCATGTTGCCCAGTTTACACTGCAAGTCATTTGATAATGAGGAGAAGGGAAAAAAAATTATGAAACTGAGCTGCGACATCACCATGCTGAAGGGTAGACCCAGGGGGTACTCTCTTATAGAAGCCATACAAGTGTGAGCGGGGCCGAAGGATATGGTTGTTGACCCCTTTATGTGTGAAATTGGGAAAAGATTTCCACGATTTGGCAAAAACAGATAAAACGTGAAACAGGATTAGGTTTTGCTCTGCCTTGTACCAGGTCTGTATTTATTCTATTCTATTTTATTGTTGGTTTATTATTTATTTATTTATTTATTTTTCTATCTATCTATGCATTCGCCTTTTTATGAAAGCGGTTTAGGTAGTGAGGGAAACCACTTTGTCATATCACACCGCCAACCGAATTTTCCAGGAGTTCCTCTCGGGGCTGCTGGGAGGGGGCATGCAGTGGTAAACTAAAAATAATAACAGATGTCTGAATATTTCTCGATATTCTATTACACGGTAGAATACATCTTTAAATGCCCTTGTGCATTAGAGAATGAGTGGGAAGCGGTAAAAATGGGCGAATATGTTTTTCAAATGAAACATTTTGCACTGAATAATGCTGAAGAATAACGATAATAAAATCAATGTCATTTTATTTAATTATCTTTAGATAATCCATCTGAAGTAGAGAAAGCAGAGTTCACGTTTGAGATTGAACAGATGAAGCTGTTGGGTGCACATAAGAACGTTGTATCCATGGTTGGATACTGCACGCTTCAGGAGAAAATTTTCCTGGTTATAGAATACGTTCCGTGTGGTGACCTGCTGACGTGGCTACGCCGCAGAAGAAAAAAGGTAAGGAGATGAACAATAATACAATTAGATAATAACGAGATTATATAGGGAGACAACTTTACGAATATATTTGGGTACTATCAGAACATTTTGTACAACTTATTTAAGCAACTACAGTTACTTCAAAATTATAAAAGCATTTAATGATAATACTAACAATAATAATTATTTAATATTTATTATTATTATTATTATTATTATTATTATTATTATTATTATATTAAAAGTATTTTATCCTTGGGTGTAACAACATAGGGATGGTATTAAATCCTCCTAACGAATCTTAGTCCATAAAACCTGGTGTGCCTCGAATTGGGGGCCGTAATCTAGTATGGAGATAATAACTTTTTGACTCTAGGATCGCTTGTAGCCACGCAGACGTAAAGTACCGTTTTTGTTACTTGCTTGATGTTTAGATCAAAGAACTTCAAGCTACCGAGAGATCGTATGCTGACAAAGAGGTTCTGAAAGATCAGAGAGAGACCAGAGATCATGTAGGCTTGTATATAAACTGTAGTTTAACTTTCCATACTAGCTCTCTCCAAAAACGTTTTTTATCCAGACTGCTTGTTTGTTTTCTGTCTGGTTGACCTAGCTATCTAATTTACCCGGGGGGAACTCCGCATATGAAAGGGGTTGGCATGCTTCTCGGAAATTCTGAATTAAACCCCTAAAGGAGACCGATCTGGGCGTGGTCCAAGCTTTTTTTGATCCCTAAAAGAGGCCATGTTAAAACACAGACGAATGAGAAAACTTGGATTATATGAATGGAGTAAATGAAACGAATTAAAAATACACATATCAAATATATATTTTTTCGCGTGCAGCCCTAAACAACGAGACCGGCTAAATGATGATGGCGTTTTGCCCTAAACACCCTAAATGAGACCAAAATCCGAAATTTACCACTTTCTTATGCGGAGTCCCTCCCCCCGGGCTAATCTACCCATCCGATTGTTGTTGAATGGTTTCCACGTAACGTAATCATAATTCAAAATAAAGAATTCTTTATCCTTCTGAGTTTCAAATTTGTGAACTGTTAGAGCAACTGATCATGAACACGTGTATTTCTATAAAGTTTCAGTTCGAAAGGGTTCTTCATTTTGTGACAGAACACGTTTGAATATTCAAATATATTGCGTGACGCGACAATAATGGGGCAACAAAAGCTGTCACGAAACTGTAGGTTAAAGAGCAGTATATCCTTTTTTTTGAGATTTTGCTATCTGAACAGTCCTTGTTTTTTGAATACGTATGAAGTTTGATGTTTATGAGCTCTCTAGAGATGAGTACTCGCTTTATGGCCATGTTTCTGTTAGTTTCCGGCCGCCATATCTGTGTTCCTCAGAGGGACGCCAACATGGCTGGCGTCTCAAAACAAAGCTCTACAAATTTGGGTAACACATTTCTCCGAATACCTTGCAAACGAAAAAACCGCACAGACCTGAATCTTAGCAAGACTTTCTGCATATCCCTTAGATTCCTGAATCTATTCATTTCCACACAGGTCAGTAAACTTGCTAAGAAACAGATAAAGCAAGCGGAGAAAATACAATTGAGTATGGAAATGACCCCATTACTACAGGATAACAGCGAGGACACAGCGTCGACTTCTTATCATCTCGGGGACGAAGTATGAAATAAGTCAGCCAGGAGGACTCAAAGATTTTAGATGACGTTCATTTCTTCTATATATGGAAAAACTGCTTAACTCAACTTAAACGTGGTTTAGGCTTGTAGCTCATGAAAGGAATTCTCGTGTAATCCTGACTAGTGCAATCGATAGAGTTGATAATGGATAATAATGGATAACTCTCGATAAAGAGCGATTGATTAAATTGAAAATCGATAACAATCGATAGAGGAAAAAGTTGTTGCTAATCGATAGTTATCGACTTTAATCGATTTTTATCGAAGTTGTCGATTTTAATCGGCGCTTACTCAATTAGGTTAACATTGGCAAAGAACGTTGTTTCCGAACATAAGTACATTATTTATGTGGCTTTGGACGGTTAAATTTGTAACGAAGTTTATTTCACAAATTACACTCAATCACTAACGAAGCATTTTCGGCCAATCGACAGGATAAAAAAGAGTTATAAACAACTGACTCAGCTTGCTTGCACTGGAAACTGTTCAAGTTGAACCCTACAATGTATAGTTCGGTCAGGGCCGTAGGAGTAGGGGGGCCGAGTAGGCCCATGCCCTCCCACTTTTTGGGCGACAATTAAAAGAAGAAGAAGACACCACTTTACAGTCGAAAATACTGAGTGAATAACACAACGCAATTCTCCCTTCGATTTTACAAAATATGTTGTTAGGGTTAATTTTGTAACATTTCAAGTCTGTTTAAATCTCTTTCTCGCCCTTAGCCAGCGCATACAACCGTCTCTCCTCGCTCCTCATGACTAGGGATGTTTCGCAGGGTAGACGTGGAGAGACGGCTGTCATACAGGCTACTGATCTTGTCCTTTGCTTGTAATTTCCTTGATGGCGTCACTGTTTTACCTTTCTTTCCATTAAAATTGTACCTTAACGACAACATCAGAGATGGGTAAAATATATTCTAACCATTTGCATTTTCTTTCGTATTTTTTACAATGTCCTGTCAATAACGCAGAAAATAGCATTTCCGAGCCCCTAAATTTAAAAATTTTCTGGGGGAGCATGCCCCCAGACCCCCTACTTTGCAGTGCCTTCGGTCTTCTAACTTTTTTCCCTTTGCGCACACCTTCAAAATCTCACGCTACATACCTAAAATCTATTAATACGAACCTCGAAAAACTGCTTGTCAAAACGGTTTCAGGAGGCGATTTCTCAAGTTAGCCGTTATCAACCTGAAACTTTCATGGTCCAGATATGATCAGGGAACGTCTTGAAACGCAGCTAACTATTTTGAAAATGCATGTTCGAAAAAGTGCCATAGCCTCTGTCATCCATTAGAATTTCTCAATGCAAATGGACCTGCTTCATTCAGTGAGACTGCAACAGTTTTAGTGAAACTAATATTAGTTATGCCTGCCACAAGTGCTTTGAGTGAAAGGTCTTTCAGTGCCTAAAAAAGAATCAAGAATTACCTTAGCTCTACCATGACGCAAAAAACGGATGAACAACCATACCGGTATACAAGGAAGACGCGGACAAATTGATGTTGCTGATTGATGTTGCCAACGACTTTTACACTGAAAACTCTCGCAGGTTGTCAAAATTTGAACACTTTTCAGAAGTCCACCTACGTTGAACATTAGGGAACTTAAGAACCACGACGACGGCTTTGTCGACGACGACCGGAAGTGAGATACCGTGCACTGCGCAAGCGCGGTTAACAAATTTCGTCGTCGTGGTGTCGTCGACGACGCCAAATACAGTACAGTCACGTCGTCCTGCAGTCCACAAGCTTCGGCAGGTATAACTCCCTGTTTTTAAGCGATTTTTCAAGGGCTTTGTATTTTTTCACCTCGTAAATCCAGGTATCCTTTCTTTTTTCTGCTAACAAGCGATGCTGAAAAATTTGACTGATGAATTGTGTTTACTTCGAAGACAACACTTAGCTGTGCAGGCCGAGCGAGCGAACTCGTAAGTGACAAATTTATTTGTACGTATTTAGGTCAGGCAAATCATATATCTTTAATATAGAGGAAATGAACTTTATATGAAAACAGCTATCGCATCGGAATGTCTCTTTTTCCAAATCTAAACTCCGACAGACAATCGGACTTGGTCATGTCATTCAGGTTGAACGTTGAATAACCTTCGTACGGAAAGCAGAGATTTTTCCATTCGAAAAGGTCAGACAACACTAAAAATTCTTCATCGTCAATGAAAGTAGTCGTACGGCTTATAAAATAAGATCTTGCATCGTCTTAAAAGACGCCTTTGCGAAAAAACGTTGTTGCGAACGAATATCACAGTTGTACTACTTCTACATGTTTGTTTACATTCAGTGTCGTCGTCGTCGACCTACCGATCGACTGCATCTTAAATTTCCTTTTTCCCGCCGAAACTGACGTTCTCGTCCCAGTCCTTTCCCAGTCAACAGACGTCGTCGTCGTGAACTTCGTCGTGGTTCTTAAGTTCCCTATTTAGCTAGTTAATTAGTACTGTTGGAAACCACTATATTTTCAACTACGGTGGTCATATTGGTTTAAATAAATTCCATAGCCTCCACTGTCACAGTAATCTCTAGTAATTTTGAGGGGACACTCGGCGCCCGGACACCGGTCCCTATTTTTTCTATCATCTGGTACAGTCTGTCGGTAACATTTGTACTATGCTCGGCTAATTGTCATCATTTCAGTCTAGATTTAAATGTCACGTAGCAGTTTATGTTTTTTTGCTACAATACAGGTTAAACATTGCTTGAAGATAGCCTGAAAGTGGAAATGAACTATATCTAAAAGTGCTTAATAAATGGCCCAGTCTGCATTAGAGCGAAACCCCGACATCTGCTTTATACGAACACCCCGTTAATACGGACACTTGCTATGTCCCCCTCAGAGTCTGTATTAACGGGGTTTGACTGTTTAGACTGTAAAGATTTGGCGGGGGAGGAAGGGGTCTCGTCCCACAACAGTCGTGCCCTGTCACTTCTAGCTTCGTTCCTACGGGCCTGGTTCAAGTGGTGAGAATACTGTCCAGTGTACAGTTTTTCAGCAAGACCCGGCTTAAATTGCTTCTTCAAAAAGCATATTGGAAAGGATAATTTAAATCGTTCTGTAAATATGCAAAACAAAGAAGATGATCAACTCCGCAACTAAATGGAAAGAGAAGTAGCATAACCATAAAACGTGATAAAAATGTGAGATAAAATCATCTTTTAAAACAGAAAACATCTGCATGTTGCTAATATAATTTGCTGTAAAATAGTGCATTATTGGGTTTTGAACCTGGGAGGCAATCGATAATATCGTTAAAATAGTTAGAAAGGATAGCGCTGACAATTGATTTTCTGATATCGATTTTTATCGATTGCGCTAGTCAAGTGTAATATGCAAAAGTTGTCCCTTTATTTAATGATCCGGGAAGCGAGAAGCGCCTCTTTATGAAAGAATTAGTTAAATATAAAGACGTTTAGAAAAATCAGAGAGAGGTTTGGGAATCAAGTAGGCTATTTGGTATTGATCAGGCTTAATAAAGATCCGGCTGATCCTCACTGGTTTGTCGTTGTGGATGTGCCTTCACAAGTGTTTCTTATACCACAAAACGTAATAATGAGTTAATTTTTAAATTTATTTATTTAGACTAAGTACGTTTTACCTAGATTTTTGTTCTGGCATCTGTAGGTCATCTGGTTGTTGTTGAACTTTAGTCTTTAATTCACCGAAATTCATTGCATACAGTAACAACAGAGTGGAAATTTGAGGTATACGTGAAAGGATAGAATACAAGATTCCACGATATATTATATTAAAGAATGATAATGGTTAAACGAAGAAATTGGCCAGTACTGGACCAATAATTTAATAAGGTTTTTGTTTTTGTTTTTTCTTACAAAGGAAAGTAAACCTGCTAAAGATCGGACAAAGCGGAGGCAGCGGACGAACGAAAACATGGAATTGATTTCGTTATCAGAAAAAAGCATTAATGATGAAGTCCGACAGGATCTGGCGTCGACTCTTCAAGGCCATCGTGTATGAAGGAAATACTTAAACATTTCATTGAATTTATTTTTCTTAAATTTATATATCTGCGTTATCAAAAGAAAGCAATGATGATGTGCGACTGGATTCAAGGCCATCTTGTAGAAAAGAAATACTTAACAACGTCTTTTTTTTTTCTTAAATTTAATTATATTGAAGGTGGATAAGGCATACAGACAATGAGCGGACGAGAGAGCTGCCATGAAGGCTGAAAAGTGACTCTGTTGGGAGGATTTTGCTATCTGAATGGTCATTGTATAATGTCAATGTTAATGAGTTCCTCAAGAGATGAATTCACCCTTAAGTAGCACAACTCCGCGACACATGTTTCTGTTGGTTTCCGGCCGCCATGTTAGTGACCATTCGGATGGGCACCAACATTGCGTCTCCATATAAAGCTCTATAAATGTAGGTAAAAAAAATTCTCGCAAATTTCTCGCGCATGAAAAATTGCACAGACCTGAATCTTGGCGAGGGCCTTTGTATATTTACCTTCTTTCATTTCCCAGATTCTAGACTTTATCTATTAAACGGTTTTGAGTTTTATTTTTAATAGCGTGACAGTGAAAACCAGCAATAGCGTTACATTTCTTCTACATGCAAATTTCATTGCCATTTTCTTTAATCATTTAGCAAAGTTTGGCTGATGAGTATGAAGTTAAGGAGGATCAACATTCTATACACCAAGACCAAGAAGACATTGCAGTGTCTCCGCAACAAAGAAACAAAGATGCCGTTCTTGAAGTGATTCCATCGACTTCCACCGAAGTAGATGTAAGACGAAAACAAAAACACCATAATAATTAATTATTCACTAGTAAAGAAGCATTTGCCTCTAGGGCGCTTATTTTGCTTACGTTTCACGTTAGAAGGACACAACGCCTTTGAGATCTTGGTTTTCCTGTGCCACTAATGTGTTCCGTCGATGGTGTACCTTTTCTGCGCTGTCTTGGATTTACGTTTCAGCGTCTCGTTTTCATTCTCTTGAGCTATTTTCAGTTCCGGGCTTGTGACTTCCAGAACGATAGGCGATATAAGGAATCGTCTAGTAAAATGGTGTGTTTGTTGTTTTTAATCAGTACCACGTGTATCAGCAGGTGACCGAGGCTTTCTGGGTGAACATCAAACTGTGGGCGTGGATTTCATCCTAGACTTGAACAGTACCCTGGACCCAAAGTAAATTTTATCTAGCTCTTAACTGGTCAATTTAAAGTTACTTTCAGTAGATAATACCTTATATTCCGTGGCTCTTGTCTGGCTTAAGAAAATTATGTTATTTTTATCTTTTTATCCGTTAGTTACCTATTTACTAACAAGGAAAGTAATTACTTGAAAGCTGTGCTGTTTCAAGTTAAACCAAAAATTTGATAGTTTTTTTTTATCAATTTAATTAGGATGAGGAATTCAAAGTAACTGACAAAGAACTTCTAACCAGGCCATCGACATCACTAGGAAAAAATCAAGCTTCTGCAATGCCACTTTCAATTGAAAACCTGGAGGAGTCAGGCGAGGATCCTTGTGACGTAGAGGAGAACTTTTCTACCAAACAACTGTTTTCATTTGCCTGGCAAATAGCTAAAGGAATGGTAATTATCTTTGTTTTCTGGATCGAATGTTGCTGGGATTCTGGTTCTGAGTATAACTTGGAAAGAAGAATTCAAAAGTCAATATTTTATAAACATGAAATAGACGGGATAAATATATTGGCTGTTTTTCTAGATATGAGTACATTAAAATGGCTTATATGGAAAAAATTTTCTTTTCGGTCGACCCAGTTTTGGCTGAATTCGTTTCAATTCGTTATGCGTAAATATCTGGATCAGATCAGTGCCGATATTTACTTTTCATTTGGATTTTTCAGCTATACCTAACAACTTAGTGTTCGGCGTAGCCCCGTTATTACGTTTTGAGATAATTTTAATCGTTGTTTCGTTGCTTATTTGTTATTAGAATCATCTCGCAGAAAACAACCTTGTTCACAGAGACCTAGCTGCCCGTAATGTTCTTGTTGGCCATGAAAACCAGATCAAAGTGTCAGACTTTGGGTTGATGAGACAAATCTATGAAGATGTGAGCAGCTCAACGAAGTCCAAAAAACTTCCTGTAAAGTGGATGGCCCCAGAATCACTTTATCAAGGCGTTTACACGACCAAAAGTGATGTGTAAGTGATGAGTTTTCCCGCTCCCTTGACAAGGGAACTATTGAAACGTTTCTTCTGAATCACTTCTCAAAATTGTAGTTGCCGTAAAAATTACAGAAGTATATAACTCTGAGGCGCCAAAATTCTCCTTATTTGTTTATAACCATGCTAGGGTTGGTTTTTAGCCGTGCAATCAGAAGAACGGAAAATTGTTTGCCCAAATATGAAATCATAGAATTGAAGGCATCCCTGTCTAAATATAGCTAAAAACGGATTCTCCCTGTCCTTAACAATTCTCCAATTAATAATTATAATAATAATAATAATAAGAAGAAGAAGAAGAATAAGAAGAATGAATGAATTTGTATAGCGCAAATTCCATTCAATGTTCAAATGCGCTTCACAATACAATAACTAATACTAACATAATAATAATAATAATAAAGTAAAAATAAAAACTAATGCTACTACTAATACTAATACTAATACTGACTAATAATACTAATGCTACTATGATATTGCGCTGCAGGTTATGATAAAAATGCTAAACGAAAAAGGTGCGTCTTTAGCTTTGATTTAAAAATGTCCATCGACTTGGAGTCTCTGACTTCAAATGGCAATGCATTCCAGAGTTTTGGTGCTGCTCAAGTAAACGACCTGTCACCATGTGTCGCTTTAGATATAAATGAGGGTTGCTTAAGCAAGAGGGTGTCACTAGAACGTCTCAGGTTATAGCATGACTGAGGCTTCAGTGGGATATCAATGACTCCAAGTAAGTGAGAGCTGTGCCATGCAAGATCTTGAAAGATAACAGAAGAATCTTGAATACAATTCTAGAGTGAATCAGTAACCAATGCAACTTAATAACGAGCGGTGTTATGTGACAATCTACCCTCAGTAAATATCAGTCTAGCACAGGCATTCTGCCACGTTGTAATTTGATCAATGAGCAGTTTGGCAGACCATACAATAAACTGTTACTTTAGTCAAGACGAATTGATATGAAAGCATGAATAAGTGACTCTGCTGACTTATTGGAGAGATACTTCCGGATGCAACGTATGTTATTCAAATAGAAGAATGATGAGCTGCAAATTTTCGAAATATGTTCCGTCATAGAGAGAGATGCATCTAACCACGAGTCAAGGTTCCTAGCGAAAGGCACAGGGTGAATGTTGGTGTTACCCTCGCGAATATGAGTGATGACTACCTTCTCAAGCTGTTGCGGTGTACCTATTATAAGAAGTTCAGTTTTTTCGTCATTTAATTTAAGATTGTCATGCGACATCCAAGAACGAATATCAGTAATTCAACTTTCCAGTAACTCTCCATCATTAAGGTGATCGAGCCTGTCGTTTGGGCAGAATGAGATGTAAACCTGCGTGTCGTCAGCGTAACAATAAACCGCAGGAAAATGATGTTTGATGATCTCGAAGAGATTGCTCTAATACAGAGTAAATAATAAGGGGCCCAAACAGGAACCTTGAGGGACACCACATTGCAACTCGAATTCCGCAGAGAGTGTCTCATTGATGGCTATTTGCTGAGACGTTCCAGACAGGTAAGACGAAAACCAGGAGAGGACTTTTCCATTTATACCAAATGTGAACTGAAGTCGATGCAGTGAAGTGACGTGATCGACAGTGTCAATGCAAAAGCCGCACTTAAGTCGAGGAGAAGAAGCAGAGTGACACGTTGATCGTTTATGTTAAGGAGGATCTCGTTAGTGACTTTGAGAAGTGCTGTTTCTATGCTGTGTTAGGGACGATAAGCTGATTGCAGAACAGGGAAGAGATCATTGCTGAATAAATAATGTTGAAGTTGCTTGGCGTCCGCAGTCTCCACAAAGTTTTGAGGCATATGCGAGGTTACTCACAGGTCTATAGTTCTTAAAGATGAGGTCGACACCCTCCTTCTGTAGCAGTGGTTTAACAAAGCGCGCTTTCAGATGAGAGGAAAATAGCCTGATTCCATCGAAGGGTTAATTAATTTCGTAATTGGAGGAGGTAATACATCAAGACACTCAGTAAAAAGCTTAGTAGGAATGGGGTCAAGAGAACAAGTCGTCTTTGTAGATGATTTGATTAGTTCATGAACCTCGGTTTCAGAAAGAAGACGAAATTCAGAAGAAGAGGGGCCATCAAGTGCAAAGTGGGATTCGCTAACATAGGAAGTGCTACCTTGGCGTGCAATCTCAAGCCGAATGGAGTTAACTTTGTCACGGAAAAACGTGCCAAAATCGTTAGTCATTAATTGATTAAGATCGGAATGTAGAGGGAGACTGGCCCACTTCGATAGGGTAAGCAGTGATTTACATGCAGTGAACAGTTTCCTCTGGTTGAAACAGTTTTCAGTGTAATTTTTCAATTACATCCAAAAACTCAAAAGTACACGCATTTTTGGGCTCGTCCACCACAAGTAAAAGGAGTTAAGAAATAAACAGGGAAATTAAATAAACAATCTAAATGCCTTGAATCTGTACATATTTATAACCTCTTTGGTTTTTTTTTTGTTTCATAGTTGGTCTTTTGGTGTTGTTCTTTGGGAAATGGCTACCTTGGGTGAGTGGACCGTAATTTTGCAGTTTATTGTTGTCATGTTAAATTTGCGGTTAACCGACAAATCAAAAAAACATTTTTCATGGTCTATGACTCTTATCGACCATAGAAATGATGTCAAAATGTTGAAAACTCATGCACGACCCTCAGGATACTGGTTTTACACTGCAAAGTTTTGAGCTTTCCAAGGGAATTAAGGGGACCGTGCCTTGACCCACTTTCCCCCTTTTGCCATGGAGGGATGTGGCTTAACTGTTACGATTGTTATCGAGGTTACTGCTACCAGGAAGGGCGAAAACAATATTTCATAATGTTTCATTTGCGGCAAGTTTGAATTTTCTTGTTTAATCTGGGCTTTGTTTTTAATTTATTAAGTGTTGTGAGACATCTCCTAGATGATAACCGTATGTGACAATACATATTAAATTTGCGAGCATTTGATGACTGGAAACGAGAAGCCTTATTATTAATCACCCTGCCTTCTTTCATTACACATTTAACTGCATTGGCTATATATCAGACCTCCATTCAATCAACAATTTTTGCAAAGTGGCCTTATTGAGTTTATATCAGGAGAAGTGTCAATCGACTAAGGCATCTTTAATAGAAATCTATCCAATGGAAAATTGCGCGTATTCAGTTGTCGATATGTAATCATTTGTTTTCTTTCTCGCAATCGTCAGGAGGCGTACCATACCCCACGCTGACCAACTCAGAGTTGTATCGACTGCTCGATACTGGTTATCGCATGGAAAGGCCTGACATGTGCTCCGATGACGTGTACGTTTCTTGATCAGAGTGGTCTTAGATTTAACAAGCAGATTCCATTTTTCTGTGCGTCTGCTCAGTTACATTTCACACTGAACGGTGCAGCATACGTCAAATATTTTAACGCCTTCTTTGATCACATTAAATACTGACCAAACGGACGGCAAGGGAAAGCGTTTGTTGGGATCCTCACTCTTTGAACAAGGAAACCCTCCATTAGCTTTATGGTCAATAAAGGTATCATTAGCAGTGATTAGGTTAATCTTTTTCCTGGGGTCGGAGCGAGTACTCCCTGTACTGGGGAGGCACCCCCAAAAGGGGTACCTTTCTCAGTCTTCTGGTATAGAAATTTTGCTAGTCGAAGTATATGAAAGGGTAGGGAAATCTGTCATTTCGGTCTGTAAAATGACTTAAGAGGACCAGATAAGATTTCTTTGCTGCGAAAAAGTCGAAAAAATTTTCTAGTTTGTTATTTATTTCTTTTTTTAAAGGAAGTGCATTTTTCAGCAATTAAAAGGGATAAAGTTAAAGTTCTTTTCTGTCAAAAATGTTACTCAAAAAAATAAGGGGTTGGACCTCGGGGCAGAGCTTTACATAATAATGGCTGGATGAAGGAACGGGGAATCACGTGATAACCAAAACGTTCCAAGAGCCCATTTTAATGGGCTTTACGTGGAAGCTTTACCCAAAAGGAGTACCTTCACGAGCTAAAATGTTTGAAATGGTAGGAAATTTTGTAACTTCGGTAATTTACATTAAAAGATATTTTAAACAGATGTGCCTTTATTGTATGCTTAATGTTAAGGGCTTAATGGCTTAAAAAGTGAAGTAGTCGTACCATTTTTCAGGGTAGGCAGGAAAGGAATGTATACGAAAGAGGTACCTTTTCTGTCAAAAATGATGTATAAAAGGGGTTGGACCTCACTGTGGAGCCTCCCTGTAAACTCATGAAGCTAAGAAACCTATATATTCTACTAAAACATTTTCTTTTATTCCAATAGACCTCCTTCGCTTGTATGTTTTGCTTTGCCAATACAGGTCATGTCTAACGGTCAAATTCCCCTGGGACCTCTTTTGGGAAACCAAAACATACAAGCTATAAAGAGGTCTTTTGACACTCTCTAATAATTGACTGGAGCTCTACTAAGCATTGAATGGTTTTTTTTTTCTCCATTCATAACAGATATGAGCTGATTACTGACTGTTGGAACGAAGACCCTTACACTCGTCCCAGTTTCTACCGTTTGATCGAAAAACTGGAGGCGATAATGGAAAGAGATGCACCATATTTGAATGTAAACAAACACAATGAATATCATCCGTATTACAACGTGCCTCCTGAAGCTAGTGCTGATTAATATGGAGAAGAAGGAGCATCCCCAATAATCGGACAGTTTAAAACGGAACAAGTATAAACAGCTAAATGCTTGTAATGGACTTAGAAACTAAAACAAAAAAACCCAAAAGAATTAAAACTAACAAAAAAGGAGCTTTAATCATAACAAAAAATGTGTAACAGTAAGGCCATCCAGATGTAATCAGGAGGCCATCATCCAGGAATGTAAAACCTCTCTTACAGTGTGTTTAGATTTTTACTAGGCTATTTATAGATCAATCTTTCATGACAACAAAAAGCGGGACTGAGTAGGATTTCCAGCAATCAGCGGATGAGATCAAAGAAATATAAAGCGATTAAAGTTTTTACTGAAAGACGCGCCTTAAAAGTTAGCCACTATATGAGAAGATCAACCGGCCTGTTGGATTGCACCGAAGTTTATTTTAGAGCACAGCGAATTTTTCGTAAAAGATTGACGTAATGTCTTACCGAGGCCTTTCACCGACGATAAGGGCTGTTCGTGCAATGCAATAGTTTGATATCTGGTTGCTAAAATATTCGTCATTCAGAACGTTGAAAACTTTTGGGCTGAAATGAAAGTTGTCACCCACAGATTTATCATTTTAAAACCATTTAGTTTCTCTACGCGGGCTCAAGATTTGAAATTAAAACAAACTTTCTTTTATTTTTTTTTTAGAAGACAGTTATTGGGTTAAGTATCATTTTTAAAATACAACTTTTGAAACCCGCGCTAGCTCTAGCCTCTGGAAACGATCGTTCCAAGAAAAAACTTTAAAAAGAATAAAGAGAAAGAAAGAGCGTTAAAAGAAAGTAATAGCTTTTAAGAAAGAGCCTTAAAACCTCGAGCTTGGTAATTTAGGATACAATTAAGAAAAAGCTCTGATCATAGCGCTAGCATTTGTACAGTGACATCCCGCTTAGAAGCCCTCGGGTTTCAGGGCAAGATGGGAAAAAGTTTTTCTTAAGTTGGCCACCTGTGGCTTTAAACTATCAATAGAGTATGGGGTGACTTAAAGTCAGTATATACATAAAAAAAAAAAACTTGCAATGGTTGGAATGAAGAATTACCTGTCTTGTAGATTCACCGACATTCCTCCATGGACTCCGCACTCCCATGCTCCGGTGGAAGTTAAAAGATTTCTGACTACAACTTACCCTGTATTTATTACTGACAGTACAGTAGTGTAAATTAATTAAACCGGGGGGTTTAAATAAGAATCAACAGACTACATATTCAACTATTGTTTTAATGCTTTGCAAAAGCCTAATGATAATGTCTCTGCCAATTTGAGATATATAGACTGAAATACCTGTAACGCTATCAGAATGATTAAAGTAACATTGTTCCGCACTTCACTTCCTTCATACAGTAACTTTGGCATTTCTCATTTCATATTGTAATCATGTAAAAGGTTTAACCAATGAATGACTGCATGACCTGACTCAGTAGTCAACGACGTCGCGGTATTCGTTCTTTTACTGTATTTGTCGGCAAATTGTAAGTTACAATAACGAAAGATTCGATACATCCTTGCCATTTTCTCCACGAAGTCCAGCAAATTAAAACAAAAAACGCCTCAGAAGTCTGACCGCGGTGGCCATGGAAGAGCGTACAAACGTGTCCGCATTACTCAAGTGAAGTGACTTTACTGGCTGAGCACCAATCTGTCAGGTAATTTAAGTAGGGTTATTAAAGTGTATCAAGAATGCATTTAAAATGATTTATTGTCATGTTTTGCAAATTACTTTCATGTATAACCATGCATAGCCATGTATTGCCATGTTTTATCATGTACTGCCATTTACCATGTAGTGACATGTATTGCCATGCGTAGCCATATATTGCCATGTATTACCATGTCCTGCCATGCATTGCTATGTATCGCCGCGTATTACCATGAACGGCCATATATTACCATGCACTGACATGTATTACCCTGTATTGCCAAGTATTACCATGCACTGGCATGTATTACCATATGTAATCAAATCAAATCAAATCACTGGTTTAATATCCCTTTTGCAGTCGGAAGACTGAATTGTAGGATACCTTACAAGCTGTGATAAATATACAAATACGCTACATTGATTAATAAGATTAATATTTAACACTAACAAAATTTGAGAAACGTTCAGTCCTTGTGGCCATGGGCCTGCTAGAACTCCCTGATCTTAGACACACACTGGTAGATATAGGTACCACTCTGTTGTGTATTAGTGTGTATACTGAGGGTTACCTGGCCGAACCTTACCTATAAATTTAATACACGAGACTGTTCGACGGTCACAAAGAGTGGATAATGCAGCTTTGCAAAGTGCTGTTTCATACGAAATACCAGGCCAAATGATGGAAAAGGCCCTTTTTTGCACGTTCTCGAGATAGCAAGCAAGATACTTATTCAAACCAGCAAAGACAGTGGAGGCGTACTCTAGTATAGAGCGAATTAGCGCGCAGTAGACATGAACAATATCAGCCGACGGAACTTTGCACTTCTTGAGTTGTCTTAGTGCATAAAGCCGTCTGTTGGCCCTCTTCACTATGTAGTCGCAGTGCACTGCCCAAGTGAGGTCCTCAGAAAGATGGACACCGAGGAGCTTAAATGTAGAAACCTGTTCAATATCGGACCCACCAACCGCGACTGGGCGCGGAACGCAACTATTCTATTGAAGAAAGTCAGCAGTCATGGACTTGCATTTACGGGGGTTTAAGCGCATGTTGTTGTTTACAGCGAAAGCGTGGATATCATCAACTACTACATTCAAGAAGGATGGCGAATTGCGAGGTACAACCTCCAAAACCGTCAGATCATCCACGAATTTAATGCGAGCGCCTCAACTTTGAACAAGGTGGTTGACCAGAACACCATACAACACAGGACCCAATTTTGTGCATCTATTACCATGTACTGCCATGTATTACCATGTATTGCCATGTATAGCCATGTATCACCATATATTACCATGTACTGCCATGTATTACCATGTATTGCCATGTATAGCCATGCACTGCCATCTATTACCATGTATTGCCATGTATCACCATGTAGTGCCATGTATTACTCTTGTGTCCAAACAAACGTTTTGCAAAGGCTTTTCTGGGTTAATGGTTGGAAGAAGGCTTAACACACGCGAACTATATTTGCCTCTTTAAACTATTAAGTAATTTTCCACTATCATCGTCTCAGCCCTTCCCCTGTCAACGCACATTTGAACAAAAATTAGCTGTCCTTTGGCGTTTCAGAAATTGTAATAATAAAGAGACATTTGGATTCAAGGAGGAGGACCACGAGGATAAGATTTAACTAATAGTGTTTTTCGCGTATTCTAAGAAAATAGACCTGTAGACATCAATGCAAGCTTCATTATTCGTTTTTTCAGTGAACTGTGGCAATCCCGCCAAGAAACCGCCTAGCACAGTTCGAACTAATATACATTATCTGCGGCGGAAGACGCTAATTTAGCTGAGTATAAATTGAGAATTAGCGGGCCATTAAATACAAGATAAATGTTTTGATAAGAATTTTAAGCAAAGGCGACATTAATGGCAATTACTGAGCGTCTCTTATACCCTGACAAGTTAAAGTTCCGCTTATCTTTTAACTACTTATATACAGCGATTAAAACTCATGTATTTTCTAAAAGGAATATAATGCACCCGGCTATACTTCGTATATTGTTGTTTTTTTTCTAAGCGGCCAGGTGTAAAAACGGAGAAAGAAAAGTGGAAGGAGGAAGTATTCAAGTGACAATTTTCAGTTAGGCGCTAAAATCTGAATGCTTCCATAAGCCCATGTTTGCTTAGAACAGTCTTTTACGCTTTGTGTCAGAACCGTTATCAAAAAGGTCTCATTAAAAGAGAAATAGCTTATCGTTTATTTCCTAAAGGTTAAGCAGCCCATAAGCACTCAGTGAAAGGAAGCAACTTGGCCATATTGATTTCTTTCCTTAACAACAAGCACACCAAACAAAAAAATCTAATTTTTCTTGGGTTGGTTCAGGTGTTCATGAAAAATTCAGGGTCTAATTGTTGGTGATAAAGCTTTTGTTAAAGAAATATAAATAAAAGAAATACAGCGGTGTAGCTTAAATGGCAATGAGCTTTTACTTGAGAAAAATGGAACAAATTTATAACTGAAACTTTATACCGCGGTTTTGACTCTAAAAAGTAAAAACCTCAGGACTCGTAGATGATAGTGGTTATTTTGCATTCTTAATTTGCGTATTAGATAAAAACGCAGACCATTACTTAACGCTTTTGATGAGGAGTTTTAATGACATGGATATCTAAGCAAAATTGTGTGTTTTTCAGACAAAACAAACCATTTTACGGGTAAGATAAGAGACAGCAACAGGCGCGAATTCATACCGGTTTCCACCTTTTTTTTCACGGAAATCGGTTAGATTTTTCATAATAATTATATTTGTAATAATAAAAACACTTTCTAAGTTGAATTTTGGCCAATATGCTGTCTGAATGACTCGGAAACCCAGGAAAGAGGACTCTAAGGAGTTAAAATCCAAAACATTTCCTTGGGGAACCTGCCCCCGAAACACCCTAGAAACTTACGCCTCCGGCGCTCATTTTGGAAGTCGGTCAATATTTATCCCAGACGCCGCGCCTGAACAAGCTATAGCTGATCGGCTACGCTGAGGAAAATTGATGAGCAATTTTCTTTCACAGCTACATCATTTCTCTTTATAACGCCTTCAATAATGTTTCTCTAGTTATTATGACATTCGAGGCTAAGGGGTCCTACTTCTTTCGCAAATTGTTTCATGCTAAGACTGGCTGATGAACAGCACTATGTATTCGAAGAACATTTTTAAAAAACAAAAGACTGTAAGCAATTCAAACGTTCAAGGTGTCTCTTTACTTTTGAGTATGAAGATGAGAATGATTCCAAAATGAAATCAGGCCCTATGCATGGTTTTACCATTCAAATGAAAGCTACTAAGCAGTACTTTCCTGTGGTGCTGTTTATTATGCTGCACAAGGTGTTTCTTATGTTTGAGTCTGTGGATGAAATCCTAAAGTGTGACCATTCAAATGAAAGCTACTGAGCAGTTCTTTCCTGTGATACTGTTTGTTATGCTGTACAAGATAGCTGTTTTAAATCAGTCTGTAGATATCGAAGTCGGTCCTAAGTAGCGACTGTCATGACTTGAAAAGAAAGACAACTATTGATTTTTACCGTTTCTTTGATTTTTAATTTTGTATAAATTGCTTTTTGCGACTTTCAGTTCTAGGTGTCGATATTTTGGAGTTAACTATTTTGTAAAAAGCAAGTGTTGAAAGTAGAACTAATTGGCTGGCATTGATGAGGATTTTCATAGATATGAGTTCCTCAACCGACTTTATTAATCGACCATAGATCAATTAACAGTCAGCAGCAAACGATATACACCTGGCAGTCAAACTGTCCCTATTTGAAACCACTTGCGAATAATTGTTAACTTTTTCTTTTGTTAATAGCTTGATATCTACAGACGCCTCGTTAAGAAAAAGTTCACAACCAATGAAATATGCCCCGATTGTCGGGGCGATAATTTCAGAGTTGGCGATTTGTTGGTTGAAGGTCAATATGTTTTTTTGCAAATACGCGCCTCTTTTTTGTATTTGCCTAAGTTAGCGTCACCTCTCTTTCCATAGCAAAAAACTCAGATAAATTTTGAAAAAAAGTGTTTTGAGTATGATTTATCTGATCCTTTTCTTCACTCTTTCTCATAGCAATAAGTCACACCACAATCCAATATCTTTATAGTTTTAGATTTCTTATCTTTTCCGCTGTGGGCGTAACAGCTGAAGTTAATTGCCTTGTTTTATACATTGTCAATACATTAAAACACAAAACTAACAAACTCAAAATGATTTTCAGTTCCGGTTTTAAACAATGAAACGTTTCGACAATATTAACAGCGTGGCACTCCTCGCTAATTTATTATCTTTTTCCAAAAGGGGAGCATGCATATTTAAAGACGTCGAACTAGCTTAAGAAGTCATTAAGGAGGAGACTTGAACTGCATAGCGATGTTCAACTTACTGAGGTTCACACTTTGCAGCGCGATATTTTTCATGTCTGTTTCCTGTACACCAAGAAAAGCCACCGTCAAGGTAAGACATATATTTGAGTTTTTCCTTGAAGATAACCTCGTGTTCTCTGTAAAAGAACGATAATTAATATTTTACAAAACTACACGTTGTATGTTTGAGCTCAAATTTATCGTGATGGGAGCATGATCCCAATTTTCAAATATTTTTCTCGCTGGTGAATTTTCTGAAGAGATAACAATGAAAGTCGCCTTTTTATGATAAGTTAAGAAAGGTTCAAAGGAGGAGAAAGAACAAATAATTTTCTCCCTTTTTTCTATTTTGATTAATATTCTGTTTGTTGACGTTTTATGAGCTGCACGCGATAATCTGACATTAGAATGAGCCGTAATTCAGAATTCTTTCTGCAGTTCTTTGCAGCCATGGTAATGAACCCTGCCATTAATACAACGGCGTGATCCGGGGTCTATAGGCTCCATTTCCAGAATATAAAATAACATGATAAGTCATATTTTAAAACTGGGAGAAAGTTTAAAGTTTTAAAGTTCGGTTTATGATAATCTCCTATTCGATGCTAAAATCTCAGAAGTCATTTTTTGCGGGAGTGTGTTAAAATGCGTTGTGACAGAAGACACTCTTTCTTTTTCTTGAATAAACTTTGTTGTCAAGAAATGTTGTGCTCATACACCTGTTGCTGTGGGTGGTAGCGTGGTGTTAGTTTTCTTGAATTAGCTCCACGATCCGTAGTCAATCCCGTCGAGGTTCTTTTTCGGTCAGTCGAATGTACTTCCTGTTTTCTCGGTAAGAGATAAACGTCGTCATGGCAACTAAAAAATAACTTTCTGACCGGCGAGTCACATCGCAATTTAAGCCTACTTCCGGGTTTTAAGGTTTGACTTTTTTGATAAAAATCACCCGTTTGCATGGAATCTTTAGTAACTGAACAACAAACAGCGAGCCTTGTGGACCCTGAGCAGTGTAACAACTTTTCCGAATTCCCATCGTAAACTTCCATTATGACTTCTATTAAATTGTCTTTTAATTTAAATTAATTTTGTTTGATATTGTTGTTTCTCTTTTTCTGAGGGAAGGAGTTGAAAAAACATTGTTATTTATTGTCATCACCATCATAACCACTATTTTTTGTTCTTATTATCACATGAAGTACGAAGAGTCACCGAGACAGATGCTCCTTCGACTCGAGCCTGGTTACAAACGTTTCCTTGATTCCAAGAGAGGTAAGGACAGCTTAGCCTGTCAATTTGATGACATTTGTAGAACACCTTTCAGTGTTAATGTAAATAACTGTTTTCGCGCGACGTTGGCCTCCCCATCTTAGTTAATGTGCAAGCAATCTACTCTGTAGCGAAGAGAGCCTTGATAAGAAATCTACTCTTCTACCTGATTAACGTGACCTATTCTACGAATTAGACTCAACTATGAAGAAACTGGGACTTGTGTCTTACTCAGGCAACTCACATTGAACGAGAGGGCAGTGGGGAGGAGAGAGTGGAATTTACCGCATTGGGCACTGAACGGGGCGTGTAGAGTAATAAACAAACGCTATTGTCATTTGCTCTCAGTCAGCCTGTGACCCCCCCCAACCCGTCACGCGCTCCCAAGATAAAATCGACCGTTGTAAATCATTTTTGCCCCGGCGTTATGCTTAATAACATCAACTAATGCGTATTTTCTTTCAGAAAATGACCAGCCTTCCGAGATAAAGTGTGGGTTGTTCCCAGAAGTCATCCAAGTTGAACCCGATGTCACCGCCCTAAGGAATTCCCCTCAGTTTGTGCAAGTTAATCGTTGTAAGGGCTCATGTGACCATGCTCTTATCTTAGAAACATGTAAACCAACAAAAATACGCAGCATACCTGTCAGAGTATCCCCTGAAAGTGGCAATAGTTATGACGTAGACGTTGAAGATCACGAGGAGTGCAAGTGTACTTGCCGAGCCCAGTGCAATCCCGAAATTCATGTCCTTAATGAGAAACTATGTAAATGTGAGTGCAGTAAGAAATGTCCAGATGGGAAAATGCAAGATCCATCTAGTTGTGAATGTAATGGGTAAACAAGAAGAGAATTATCTCGGCTGACCGAGTATTAGCCATTTCAATGAACGCTTTATAGATGATTTAATGTGTAAAACTTAAGGCTTTAGCGAAAAGCGTTGAATTTCTCTTTCAGTAATAATTTCAATAATAATATAATTTATGCAGTGGAAGCTCTCGTAAGTGGACACCCTCGGGACGCCAGGGACGCGCGAGGGATGCGAGAAAGGTGCCCGTAATTGGAACTGGCCCCTTAAGGAAATGTAAAAATTCAAAATTTGTATGGGAGTTGAGTAAAACCCCGGGGGGACCCCCATATAAAAGTGACGGGGATGCTCGTCGGAAAATTCAAATTAAACCCTCAAGGGAGACCAATGTGGGTATGGCTCAAGCTTAAACTGACCCGTAAAGGAGATTTCTGGTTGGTCAGTGTCGGGGCATTTCTTGTAAATTTCTTTATGCACAGTACTAAGTGATACCAGAATGGTAATGGTATAGTGACTTTCCATCCCAAATATCCTAAGTGAGACCCAAATTTACACGCCCCCGGGGAGTAAAACTTGGTTTTGTGAATGCGGCTAAAAAAAAGCTGTCCGTTAGAAGAGCTTCCACTTTATTATCGTCAGATCAGCCATACACTGATTGACAAGCATATACAAAAGGCACCCATTAAATATATTAAACAGATGAAAGATATTCACCTGATATCCAAACACCGAGTCACAGGAATCACAGGAAGAAACAGGAAGAAATGTTTCATCTGATATCCAAACGCTGCGAAGTAATACATTAAACGTAAGAAGGAAATTTTTGAGATGACTGGATGCTGGATATAAGAAAAAACACTTCTTGTGCGCGTGTTGATATAGCTTTTCAAATAGTCACTACGCAAAAATCTATTTTGGTCGCAATCCACCGTAGCCTCCCACGCGGGCTTCTTTAGGAGAGCTCGTTACGAAATAAGAGCTCCACTAAAAACACCTGCGTGGGAGGCTAAATCCACCGCGGTGGTTTCCTACTTCTCTCATCTTTCTCGCGATTTTTATACATTGATGTTATTTGAAATACGAGGAAAATTTGAAGTCAGATGATGTGAGCTGTTACTAGGACTAAGGGTTAATAAAAACAAGCGCTCATTTGAGTTTCAGTCTGAAAGTTTGTGTTTTTAAAATAAAGAACTTAGCAATGAACAACATTAAAAAAACTGAAGAGTATCAGTTATTCAAGATGGTTTGTAGTACTAATTCCTACAAGCTATCAACAGGAAGTCTCTTTATAGTCCTTTTCCGGGGGGTACTCCCTTATATAAGACATATAGGCATGTACCCCTTCAAAGCGTGGGGTTTTTGCGCCGTTTTGGTCTGAAAACGGGCATAGATTTTGCCCATTTTGGTCCGGAATCGGGTATGGTTTTCGAGGGAACAACGGGAGTGTATGAACGTATTTATCGTTACAGCTCCAAATATGCGATGATTCGAAACGTATTATGAGCCAAATCTTTTTTTGTTGCCGTTCTAATCTAAGTAATGATGAAATAATTCCTTAGAGGCCAGGTCTGAAAACGGGTGTGAAAATTGGAGAACCGGGCGGCACAATCCCACCAAGAATTCCCAGGAGTGCCTCACCCCATCCCCCCCAAGTCCTTTTTCACTCACGTGGCCAGCAGCTCTGCAAACTTATTGGAACAATAGAAAAAGGTTCAGTGTCGGTCTTCAACTCCCACAGGTTTGCTTACGGACACGAACATGACCGCCATTTAATTGTTTTCGGACACCCATATGGCGGATGTGACGTCATGTGAAACGCTCTATATGGCAGAACCACTCTTTGGTTAAAAAGAAGGCTCTTCGTGAGTCACGTCAAGTCTTTGAACTCGCCGAAGCCCAAATTCCTAGACTAGTCAATCTTGTTTTCTATCTTCAAACTGGTTTTACGAGTGCGTGCATCCTTTTATTGATAAACCAATGGTCATAACTGAGCCCGCTGTACAACTGTATCCAAGCAACATAATATGCAGCGTCGATTCATGCACAATCTTCCTTAAGTACCACAAAATCGAGTAAGCGAAAGAAAAGCTCTGCAAGTCGGGTGAAAAAGAATGCAGATTGAAACTTAAAACTACAAAAAGGGGAACAGACGTTAAAATTAACTTTTATTACATTTTTAACAAGTCTTGTTATTTAAAATACAGTTAATAGATTATAATTTAAAACGCCGGGATGGATGTGCCACCCTCCTCGCACTTGCATGAAGATTCACTCCATGTTCCTGGCGAAACACAATCATGTTGTAGCAGACATTCGCACCTGCAGAGTCGTGGGCTCCACTTCTTATTGTCCTTCTTTTACAATGGCTTCCATCTTCGATGCATTCGCAGCTACAGGTATCCTTTCTGAACTTTTGCTTCGCATTACACTTCTGTCTGCAGCTACAGTCGCAGGCTGTATGATTTCTCAGAGAAATTTCGGCGTGTTTTAAGTTATCGTTGATATCCTCGACAAGGATAGTAACCTCGTCTTCTTTTGTTACTGTACACCGAAGCGCTAAAAAAGGAAACAAGTGTATGTCATTTTGTGAAAGATCGAAGAGCAGAGCGCAATGTGTGTCAGTTACATTTATATGTGCTTTGGTTTATAGTAATTTTATCGGTAATCATCGCGTCTTGTGCTTAAGCTACGCGTGAACTAAAAATGGACTGGAAACACAATTGATACATGGTCTCATCTCTGCCGCTTGCAGTAAACGGTGCTTTTAATAGAGAGGTTTAGCATCACTTTTACAGCAACTGGTTAACGTCAGATTCAAGTTGGCAATTCCTCAAATTTGTAAATGAGCAGACAAAAAATGTCTGAAATAATTCTTGTGTGATGAACCAGGCGCGAAATTTGTAACTTTTTTGTAGCCTCAATTTCAGACACTATCTTGAGTCGCTTACTCCCTCAGTAACCTCTAAATCAACCGGCAGTTAATGCCGTCCAGTGGAGGAGTAGGCGACAGGAAGTAATGTCTGAAATTCAGGCTAACTTTTGTGTGGATATAAATCAACATTAAATGCCAAGTAAAGGGAAAATTTGGTTAGGTGGTACAAATTAAAGTAAACTACGTCAGGTGAACGAAATACTTAATCTCTCTATACCTAACATCTCTCCAATAAAAAGAATAACTTACCTGAAGAGCATCCACCTGCACAGCGGTGTAACTCCACAAAGCTCGGCTAGTAAAGCCTTTCCTGGTCTACTTCCACAATAGTTGGATAGGGGCGACAATGCTGCATAGGCAGTTTAAGAGCTCCTGTACCAACAGCCAGACGTGAAAAGGTTAAAAGTGCTCATTTTTATATGAATTCTAGCTTTTTGGAGTCCTACTCGACTTATCTGTCCTAATAAATTGTAACAATTCAAATGAAAGGCTACAAAACAGTGTTTTTCGTTGCTGTTTAATTTTTTCAAATAAGTCAGTCCGGCAGTCGGTCTTAATAGGGAGCAACTCACGTCAACCAGCCGAATGAAAGCTTTCTCTTAATAATAATCCTTGACTCTATAAAATTTTATTGCTAAGTGTCTTTGCTCTCTTTTAAAGGCGATTTGCCCGAAAATTTTGGGCGAAAATAGAGTTTTTGAATTTTATTAAATGGGGAAGCGACAGTTTTAATTTACACCGTAATTTTCTTTTATTTCGGCTACTTAATGATTTGCTGTATTAAACCAATCACAAACAATGCGAAAAAATTGTTGAGAAAGAAAATATCTTCTTTATTGATTTTTCTTTCAAAACTAAACCGCTTTTCGTCAGTGACCGTAGGATTTAATAGCGCATGACAAAGATATTTCAAAGATGTCAATTGAAAAGAGCCTGATTAGGCATTCCTTTTTAAAAGTCAATACGTGTTTTATTTCCGAATGAGATGCGACTAAATCAAAAGTTTCCTGATGAGGAATTTTAAGTTTACGAAGAGTTGTGTCTGTACAAACTGCTTTGAAACCTAGAACTGAATCATTTGATCACGCTGTTGTTTTGCAGAGCGCAATAGAAGAGTGGGTAATTGGAGGGAGTTCCTACGCACGTTTCAGGGACATTAAAAAGCAGCAAATGCAGCACGGTGATTAAAATTCCGGGTAAAAGGACAGTATTTCACGGATTTTAATTTTGTATATCGCCTTTCACGAAATTTAAAAACACTTCATCCCGTATCGATCACGCAGAAGCCTCTTTCACCTCCTCATAGAAAAATGCACCAAATATATACCATGCGCGCAGGTGTGAAAGACTGAATTGTTTTACTTAACAATTATTGGCTTTTAGTACCGCCTTTTGCAATACCGGCTGTCGATAATGTCGTGGTTGCTTAAACTCCGTAAAATTTCACGCCTCTTTTGTTTCACGTGAAGCGGAAAAAAAACGATTTATTTCAACTTACTTTTTCTCTGTTCTCCAGGTTCATCGCCATCCGTGAATCTCTTGTTCATCTCCATCATTTTAGCGTATTTGATCCTCTTTCCTATGTATGACTTTAAATCAGGTGTAGCCATGTCGACATTTGACAAAGTTCTCTACATTGGAAAAGGAAAAGTCTTGGTAAGATTTTCCTATAGGCGCACTCAGTAATACAGTAAAACCTGTCTACAACTGCCCTTGATTAGAGAAAAGTCTTCATCGCCGAAAGGTGACCTTTCGGTAAGAAAGTAGGGATGTAATATGACATCTCATTTTTTCAGGAAAGGGTAGAACATTTTCGGTTTTAAAACAATGATTACACAAGTTTGTAAATTGATTGCTTCTGAATATGGCCGTTACAAAGTGAGAGGTTCAGTTTTGATGGCACCAACTTCAAGAGCTTTTTTTTCTTCTCGAAGAATTTGAGACTAAGAAAAGCCACAGTTTTGTCTTAAAATAAGTCGTTTGGTGACGGATCTATCAATTTCAATTAAAAAGTGAGACTTTCAAATAGAAAAGTGTTTGTTATGAATAGCTTAAACTGGTAACCCAGAACTCATGCATACCCAGTGCTGGGGTAAGAAGTTAAAATTCATTACGCTGAACATGGTGACCGCGCATGATTTTGTTGCATGTGGACAAGAAAGGAAATTCCGCTCCGTAAAAACTCTACGAAAATTAAGTTAAATTGGTGATCACTAGTGCCTAGCAGCATTTTTCAGTCTTACCTCTAGGTTCTGTTTTGATTCTGAGTAAGATGAAGACGGGCTCACAAGATTTGACATTACAAAGATAAACATCGACAGATATATAAAATTCACGATTCGCGCCATGTTACCTAGAAAGTCACTTAGCTTGCTATGCCAACTAACATAAGACAACACGTTTAAATAAAGATTAGAGACAACAATTATTAAAACATATGCCTGTAATCATTTGGGAGTAAATTTTGGAATTCTGAATTAAGCATTTAGATGTTAATGAACGGCGCCACGCGGTAGAAATTATCCTTGCCTACATTATGAACTAGAAAGGTAATTAGCCTTGATTACCCTGAACCATTCATTCTTATCTCCCAAGGATTTCACGGGAAAAAAAGTTTCCTATATTTTTTAATTCACTAAGACACCTTGCAGTCTATTCGTATGGGTGGTCTGGAGAAAAACTTTACTTGTATCGCAATTTTTGGACAGCTACATACAGTGGAACCTCGATATAACGAGCTTCAGGGGCACCCAACGACAATTTTTGAAAAATATACGGAAGACGATTTGAGATCTCGAATTTTCGAAACATTGCTTGCCTGCCTCTCCTAGGGTTTTTCTAAAACATGGTATAATGGCCATTATTAACAGATTTTTACCCTAAAAAGGTCACCTAGAATTTTCGGGAGCCTTTTTTCTGGCTGAAACTTTCGAAAACGTAATTTTTGATCCCTATAATTTCGGATCACTAGACTTTCAGCTAGGAAATCCGAACAGATGAAAAATTTTTAGGGGATAAAAATATGCCTAAATCTACTGTTTAAACACTAAAATACGTTCAACAATGTTATGTTTAAGTGGTTTTGAACTATATTCTCGTTGGGTGCCCCTGGAGCTTCTATGCTACGAAGTCCATCGGCTCAAAAACGAACTATATGTTCTTTACCTGACTTTATACCACAGAAGTAAAATATATAGTGAAAAATAACTTCACGTCGACATAACGAAACCTAGCGGTATAGAGAACAAGTTTTGCCGGTCGCTTGGCCCTTCGTTTTATCGAGGTTCCACACTGTACAATGAAGACGGGATATTTTGATATTTTCTCATGTATTAGTAATGTTGTCAGTGTCTTGCAGATCGACAGGCAGTTTTTCGCTGATGCCCAGCATTGGCGACTGAGATGGATCTTATCATGAAATTATTGAAGAGAGGCATGGAGAGTAAGACAAAACTTCTTGGCTTCTAAAAAAACTGACTAATTATTGCTTTTATACGAATGGCACCAATCATGAAGTTTTTTAATACCGTAATACCGAACCAGTGCTGAATGAAAGAATGATTCTATTCAGTGCTGTACAAGCCGTTTCTAACTTTAAGCTTACGGAGAACTGAGTTGAAAAAAGGAGCCGCAGTGTGTATTTTTAGCCAAAAATCAAGGTGTTTGTAATCAGAACCATTTGACTTTTTCAGTAGATTGACTGATACGAAAGATGAATAATCATTAAAGCCCTGAAAATCAAAGAACACAAGAACCTTGTAGCCTTAGCGTGACAAAAGTGATCTTTAATAGGAGAAGACAGGCAGTATAGGAGTATCTCTCCTTGGGCAGTCCAAACACTTCTTGTGGTATCTAGAAATAAATATTGGATACTAGATCTGCGAAAGGAAGTCAAACTATCGGGAAAACTTGCATACGTGCTCACTTAAACAAACCCTGTGTCAAGAAATTTTATGTGAAACTTTTATCATTTTTAAATATCATATTGCACTAAATATCCTTTTATCTGTTTTATCCGGCCCTCTTAAATGACACTCAAGCGAACATTAAAAAAAGATCATAGGAAGTATTTGTTTTGTTTGCTGCTAGTTTTTCAATTTTCAGTCCAACATTCAAATCCTTTTTCATTAGATTAAGCACGTTTTAAGTGTAAATTATCCTTTTTGGATTGTGATTGTGAGGGATTTTAATCATTTCACACCTCACGGTCATATCGACTTACAAGATATTTTTCTAACCCATGGTTTGCAATCATTTAAAAGAAATTTCGCTTTGGACGATGAACATTTCAGTATAAACGTTAAAAAACGCAATTTTGGTCATTTCCAGAAAATGGTAAAAAAAATTGTGTTCAAATTAAGATCATACTTCTTTTCCTATTGCAGTTGTCTTTTCTGTATGTGAATTATAACAAATTAGAAAAAGATTTACTTAAACCTCTAAAACTTTTAGATATCAGGGTCAATCAATCCCAGCATTTGATTGCTGTTTAAATTGTGTAAATAGAAGCATATTTTTAAAATATACATTTAGTGCTTGTAACTCGCTAACCATCATGAGACTTTCGTGAAATGTACGGTTTTAAAATAAGTTTGTGGTAAAAATTGGATGATTAAAACTCAATGTTTATTGTTAGCAGTATGCTTAAGATTTGTTTTACACAATATGCAGGCTTTGTGGCTCTTAGTTTATTTTTCAATTTAGGTAAACAATCATCATTTACTGTAACTGCTTTCTAAATTGTGTTTTGCATTTGTTCCCCAAATCCTTTGTACAGCCGCCATATTTACAAACTAAAGCATAAAAGTGCTTGCATCAAATAAAACAAACAACTTGAGGATAAAATGCATTTCCTTAATTGAGGTTTGACGTATTACAAGTATTAACTAACAATGGCAAGGAATATACTTACAAACATTTCAGGCAGACTCATTCATTTATGATTTCACGACATATTTATTTTCTACACTAGAAATAAACTAATTTGCAACGGTCTTTTTTTTTTTCGTCTAATATTCATTAGTTTTGTTAACTTACTTTTAAAACGGTAGTTCGAGTGAATCCTTTCAATAGAGCTTTGGATTATGACGTCAATGAGCTACTGACCAATGACATAAGAATTGTGTTTGACGTCAGAAAATAGTCAACCAATCGCATCACCTACTTTTCTTCTCGGGTTTTAAATACTGAGGAATCCAGTTCCAAGGCTACATTTTCTTATTCTTCTCCACCGAGTTCGTTCCGTTTAGCCTCGTGCATATTCAACAGAAACTGTGCCCTAAATTAAAGATGTTGGCCACACTTCTTCTTATTGCGGTCTTTGGGACATACACACGTTCAACAAATATAGAAGTAAGCATTTATTCTTATTTATTTTAATTTTATTAATAAACCTCGACTGCTGGGATGTTCCAGTTTTTGACCTTACGTCCGGTCCCACGGTTTTCAAATTTTATTCATGTAGTTGAATTTGAATTCGAAATTCTAATTAATTTCCTTTATTTAAAGACACCTTAGTAAAGAACTAGCTATTATATAATTGTACAATCATTAGTATTTATCGATAAATGCCACGCTCTTCAAAGAACAACTTCGATTTCAGTTCCTTGATTTAGAGGCCGGTTACTCCAATATTTTTGGACATGCCACGTGAACAGCTTCGGCCTTAAATTCATTTCGAATCGTTGATGTTGCTCACTGAAAAGATCGAGGCGTTAAAGCAAAAAAAGAAATTTTGCAAGAAAAGAACAAACAAACAGACCCAAATAGGTTGGTATATAACTTCAGGGACATTTATCCGCTATGAACAAAATATTTTCTATACGGAAACGATACCTTGAATACAAATAATTTTAAATAATTATTAAAAGCTTAGGAGTAAACACTCTATTTTTATCTCTTCCTTTTTCTTTCTTTTACATAAAGTCCTCAACATCAGCTGGAATTTGAGTAAACAACTTTATTTGCGGGGCGTAGTAAAAAGTCGACACATTTTTAAAGGCAAATTTCAGGTTTTCACAGATCTACTTACACTGCCAACTTTATCATTGAAATATGAATATTCTATAAGAAATTATGACTAACGGTATTCTCACGCCGGGAAAATATCTAAAACGATGGTATGCTGCACATAATACTCAGTTTTAACAGCAGGGATTTAACACAGTTTTCAAAGCCTACTTTTTTGGCCGAGATGCGACATATATAATAGTCCCGTCCAAGTCACTGACCAAATGATTAGGTATATAATAGGTTTTAATTTGCTTAAAAACTGCAAAATGATCTTATCATTTTCAGCCGAGCTTTTCTTTTTCATAAATTGTAGGAATCGATAGGAAGTCCTTTACTGATTTTCCGGAGGCAGCTGAGGGCCATTTTATATTGACTCGGAAGTTTCGGTTTCAGATATACCCGCGAAAGGTCTAGACTTCTTTTTATTCATCATTCAGGGTTCGGTTAGGGTTGACAACTGACAAATGAATAAATTAGGTCGCTCAATTTTGGCTATAGATGATAACTTAAATGTTATTCTGTCCTCGTAAAAATTTGGTTTAAATAAAAGATTTTCAAAGGGTTGGAGGCTAAATTAGATAATTATATGTTTTGTCAGTTATGACTAACAGACTTACAATATCTATTTCACCATCTAAAGGTGAAAATCTGGAAGGTGATTAAAAATTTTTCCATAACAGAACGTCACGTAAATAAAATGCTAGTCTTAATCACGTTAATCTTTTATTGTTCGTACTTTTCGTTAATTCATCTTGTTAACAACACTATTCTTGATACGCGTGTTATTCTGCTGTACGAATATCATTTTACTCTTATTACTCCTCATTTCAACCATAAATCGTCGGAGACGTTTTGCTACGTTCAGCTAAGTAGACAGGGTAGTTTTGTTTTCTGAAAGTCATGTATAGTAGTAACATACATCTTTGGTTCGCTCAAATCGAAAGATTTTAAATTGAATCGATGCAATTTTACGTGTATGGATTCTCTTGTTGATAACTGAAAACATAAATGTTATATAGAAACAACCCTTGACAATGCCCTTGTATCTATGCCCGCAACAATGTTAAAAATATTATTTTAAACAGACTGGTAAAATTAAAATAATCATTTCTGCATTCTGCAAATTTCAGCAGGATCTACGCATGCGCTTCACGTTTGACCGCTTTGAATTCCATTCTTGATCTCGACTGATGAACTCGACCTTGGGAGTTGCTTTACATGACCCTTTGCTGCACTCGACGAGAAGTTTCCCAGAGCTCTTTCGATTCTGTCCGTCTGTCGAGCTCTCTGAAAGAGGACGAGATCAGAAGTTAAAAATGTTATGAATCTTAGTTCTTTACATTTGGTTCCGTGTCATGCCCGGCTCATGCAGAATCTATTATGTCTTTAGCCTGCGAAAACATCCGTTTCTCTTCGCTCTTTATCGCTGGGGACGTTTCGCAAGGAGGAAAGTCTGCGACTCTGCGACAGAAATTCCATACTAATGACGCAAATCAATGTTTAAATGATAAATTCGGTTGTCATGGGGTTCCAAATATAAATTTGTCCAATTTTACGTGTCTTGTGGTCGATTTTGGTAAAGTGTTGTGTTCAACGAGCTCTAGCAACAGGCTCAAATGCTTCTTCTAGAGAAGGCTATATTCCACAAATATTGACAGTTTTATTAGACATTCTTCGCGTTCGCATTTGGGCTTTGAGGCCTTTTGTCTTTCGTAAACAATAGCTAAAACAATGTAATTACTCCAACGACCAATCAGCGCTTCTGACAGGATTCCGGACAGATTTTACGTCGTCAGTATGAAATTTCTGTCGCTGAGTCGCAGACGTTCCTCCTCGCTAAACGTCCCCAGCGGCGAACAGCGAAGAGGAACGGATGTTTTCGCAGGCTATTCATGTCTTCAAAATAAAAGCGCGCTTTTTTGTCCCTGACTTAGTCAACATGGGAAAGGAGAGCCATACGTGCCTTACTCGGGGCTCGCCTCGAGCTCCAACGGCTACAAATGAGCGTCACATCGTGTAACCAAAGGAATCTCCCCTTTCGCTTAGCCTGAGCATTAACAGCCGACATTTCGCGACGCCACTTCCGGTTTCCGCCGCAAGATGACGTCTGAGGGGTGAGGAACGAACTCATTCCATACTGATGACGTGTCACTAACCAGGTCTGGCTAGTGTTTTTGATTGGTTGAAGCAAACTTCATCCGCGGTACGACCAATCAAAAGCACTGCCCAGATCTGGGGGTGGGGGAGGGGGGCTAAACCATCACCTATTGCTGTAAATTTGCGCGAAATCCTACTTTGCTCTGACCGGATGCGAGTTTGGCGCGCAAAATGAGCCAGGTTTTATAAGAAAGACGGAGCGGGCAAGAGCGGGCTCAAGGCCAGTGCCAGGCTCCTGACTGTTTCTTAGTTCCTATAGATAACGTCTTTAATTTCAGGATACTTGGTTTGATGATATCGATGGGCCAAACTTTTTGCGTGGAGTCGAGCAGGAACCAAAGCAAGGAAGGAACCTTGATTTCACTAATGTAAGACATTTCAGAGATAATTATATTAAGCACTGCGTTCACGGTGAATACTGAAAACGGCAGAGATTTCTTGTTTGCCGTTTCAACGTGAACAATTTATAGGATAGTATGCTTCGGTAAAACCTGTTTTATTTCGGGCTGCCATTGAAAGAACAAATGAAAAAGTGGTAAGTTTTGCTGTAAACGTTATGCGTAACGTTCCTTTCTATTACTGGGCCTTATTCAGTAGGTCTCACACCTGCAAACTTCGCCGCTCGTGGCTTCGGCCTACGGCCGAAGATGTGTCGGCCTTCGGCCAACACACTTTTCGCGACGCCACTAACAGTTTTCCCGCGAAGACCAACCTCGCTCCCAGAAAGAAGCCTGGGAATGAGGTAGCAAAAAGACGTCGGAGGATTGTCTGAGGAACGAGTTTAGAAATTCCACACTGATGACGTGTCATGGCATATCTGGTAGTGCTTCTGATTGGCTGAAGCAAACTTTCGACCAAGAACAAGCACTATACAAATCAAGGGGTAGTGATACGTCATAAAAAATTTCTACGCTGGTTTCTCAAACGTCATTTCAGGGGGAAACAGTGAAAATTTTCATCTTTATCTAATACAGCAGTGGTGGTTTTTTTTCCAAATCCTTGTTAATAGCGACGAAGTTAATGCTCCAACTTGAGAGGTATCGACCCTCAGAACAAGGATCATTATACGCTGGTGGGAAACTGCCCACCCACCCCTCCCCTAAGCCAACATCAACACTTACTTCTCATTTATGGCAAAACGTTGGCTTAGGGGAGGGGTAGGTTCAAGCCACCTTAAGCTTATTACAAATGGTTTCTCTAATTAAAAACATGTGCTTGAATGCAGCATTGGTCACGTGATTCGACTGGTTCTTCGAGCTCCAGTGACAACTACATGACGTCAAGCCCGTCTACGTCAAGTGAAAACATTGTCTGTAAAGTTGCTTCCCATCCTTTTGGCATAAATACGACAAGTAAGTAATTTTATCACTGGTAAAAAATTCTCGCGCGATTGTTGCGTTTCACGTGCACCTAATTAGCTCCTGAAAATTTTGCCGGAATTTTTGGAAAACGCCTGTTGAATTGGAGCCAGTCGAGCCGTTTTTTCTTTCACACTGCCTAACCAAAAAGAAGTAAAACCACCCAAAGTGTTATTTAAAAGTCAGGATCACCACGCTGGTTGTGTTCCTGATGCTGAAATGCATTTTCCTGCGTTTGGACCATACACAGAAGGGGAAAAAATCGAGGTTCTGGGCAAAAAAGCAGTTTCACTTTCCCCTTGAAATTCACTTCCTCTCCTTTGCCATTTCTGTTGACTAACCCTGTAGTTTCTTCAAAAACCATACCCGATTCAGGGGCCCGTTTCTCGAAAGTCCCGATAATTAACGGGCCCGCTAAGCTGTTGCCGTTTACATTAAAGATCGAGGTTTCAGTAGTTTTGCATCTAACATGATAAGACTATCAGTGAAACAAAATGGAGTAGTTTGCTAGCCTGGACCCGCGCTCTTACTCTTTATATTTCGATTTGAATATTTGATTTCGGGCCCGAAAACTTACCGGGACTTTTGAGAAACGGGCCCCTGGACCAGAATGGGTTAAGACTATACCCTTTCATACCTCCAGATTAGGAGGGGCCCGGTCATCCAGACCCTGAGATAAGCGGGGGGTGGGGGGGGGCCGGTCTCAAAAAACATTTTTTCGGCCCTTCGGGCCTCATTTTGATGCAGAAATAAGGGGGGGTAAGGGAGGCCGGGCCCCCGGACCCCTCCCCTGGATCCGCCACTGCCCGTTTTAAGACCAATCGGTGCAAAAACCCTACCCTTTGGGGAGGCACATGCCTTTATGGCTTACTATGTAAGGGAGTACCCCTGGTGTCTCAATGGGGTGTCAGCTTTGACGGTTCAATTTTAGAGCTTTTGACATTTGACGGTTATTGAAGTGGAATTTTAGGTCAAAGAGCTTAGGTAAAAGTTTAACTGCTGTATAAATTCATATTAACTATGTGGTTTGGAGGTTGTCTTGGTTGCCCTTTCTAGCAAGGTTTAAGGTCTTCTTATGTCTAGAGAGTGTGTTCTTAAAAAACATGGGAACTGGTTTTTTCCACGTTTGGGGAGCTGACGGTTAATATAATCTGCATTTTTGACGGTTGACGGTAAAAAATTACCTTTTTCCACGGCTGACGGTTAAATTTGAAATTTAAATTTGACGACTGACAGTTGACCATTGAGACCTTCTGTTAAGAACTGTTCAGCGTAATATTCAAAATTTACACGGGTTTTTCGTATGATTGAACTGCAAATACCACAGGGACGCCACACAAATTGCAGTTTGTGTGGGCTTTCCCTTGCAATTACGTTCTTGAAAAAACCAACCAACACGGGGCGGGGGGTCAGCAAGAGATACTCAGGGCCAAATTTAAGATAAGGAGAGATTCCTATTCGAATGCGGTGCTTATTTGAGGCCTTATGACGTACTACTTTTTCAGGGAAACAAGATGTTGTGCATGGAAGCAAGATACAAGTGCATTGCCATCCATTCCTTACCGTCGTTGAGGTTAACAAGCTCCATGTGAAAAAACCAATACCGTCCCACATTAAACTTCATCGGTGCATGGGTTTCTGTAACTCAGATAAAATAAACTGCACAGTGACAAAACAGGACGAAATTAAAGTAAGAGTGTTTGATGTGCAAAATCCTCCTAAAGTAGTCACTCTCAAGATGTTCAACCATACAGCTTGTCAGTGTAACTGCACAGAAAGAGCGTCGGACTGCGACGCTAAAATACAAGAGTATGATATTTCGAATTGCGCGTGTAAGTGTAAGTCAAATGGAAGCCACTGCTACCCCGCTCAGACTTGGAACGATCGCACGTGCCAGTGCGGGTGTCGAAGCCAGGAAACTTGCCGATTAGACCAAGTTTGGAACGACTCAGCGTGCCAGTGCCAGTGCCGAAACCATGATACTTGCAATGCCACTTCAAGCCATATTTGGAACGACTCGACTTGCAAGTGCGACTGTGTAAAAAAGGTGAAAGATCGCTGCGCGCGCAAGGGAAAAGTTCTCAACGAAAAAAAATGTGAATGTGAATGTCCGAAACCGCAGCCCGTATGTGATGCAGGCACTTCCTTTCGGAAGTACAACTGCACTTGTGTGTAAACAGCCTACATCAAAGGTTTATTTGATAAAAAATAGTATATAGCAATACATGTTAAAGGTGATAAACAGTGGTTAGAAAAATATATTGTTTCGTGGCAATAAATTACTACATTCAACAGGATTAAGAGCCTAATCGTTAATTTATCTCCCTTTCCTACCCACCCTACACCTTTCTCTCTCTCTCTCTCTAAATCCACAATAGATACACCTATTTGCAATAAGGTTGTCATAGAAAAAAGCAAAAAGCAAAAAGCAAAAAGCAAAAAGCCAAATAGGAATTAATTAGCATTTAATTATCATTGCTTGCAACATTCCCAGCACACACGCTTATAGCTGAAATTTAATCACGTAACATGAGAGAAATCATTTGCATCAGTTTCTTGGTGTCATTCTAATGCAATTCGAGGCTGATTCATCTAGCGGATTTCAAACGTGCTCTAATTACAAACGTACATCGGATAACTACTAAAGAAAAAATGGCTCCATTTTTTTTTTTCAATAAATATAGCCTAGGGTAAATTCCAGGAACGCGACGCGTCTTTTCGTTTAATGCTAAATAGAAAAGCCAGTCTGCGTATGGTTTGTAGTGCACCACACCATCAGATCACAATTTTCAAGCAACAAATCAGGGGCGTACGCAGGACTTTCCATCGCGGAGAGGGTGAGGCGTTCCTCAGCCAGTCCCTCTCCCGCGTCACAAACTAAGCTTCGTTTGTCAGGACCCTTTTGTTACACACATCAGTGTTTCATCTGCGGAATCTTACAGCGCGGAATTACAGAATTATTTCTTGTTATTGTGACTGACTTCTTAAATAATTGTTATATTATTAAAATACGCAAAATGTAAATCACATGGCTAATTAATTCCTATTTGGCTTTTTGCTTTTTGCTCTTTTCTATGACAACGTTATTGCAATTAGGTGTAATTACTTGGGAAAATAATAAATATACAGGATGTGACGGTCGCAGCCATGTTGAATGACTCAACCGATTTTTCCAACGCTGGGTCAAAATAAAGGTTGATTTTCACTGACGCGTTTTTGGCTACGCACGTTAACGCACGAAAATTTTAATCACGTAAATAAAATAGAGGCAAGATAAAAAGGGTTGAGATTAAACGTGAAGTTGAGCGAGGTTTATCTTTTACGCTTACGAGCGACCGTTCATGCATTGCCTCTGTTTTATTTGCGAACGTAAATTTTGCGCACGTATACACACGTAAAAATTACGCGACAGTGGAAATCAACCCTAAGGCCCACCACAAAGCTGGGCCTACGTTAGCGTTAAATTCTCAAATAATTATGGCTATTTTATCCTCGAGCCGAGCAGATGAGCGTGTGGGAGCGGAATAGGTAACTGGGTAAAGTTAAGTTCAATGGGTTAAAGCAAACACGAATGCGCAATTTTACTACAAGATTGCACTGAATTTCGTTCAACCTACCAGCCGATGAGCATTATTCAGCAATAGGAAGCTTAATAAAAGACGTTTTTGAGAAACGCATGTCAACCGTAAGAGAACGTTTTGCATTCTTGCAAAGTGGTCTTGCCAAATTTTCGGGCAGTTCGTCCCTATAAGAGTAAAGACCCTTTGATAGAAGTACAAATTTAGGAAAAAGGCCTATTTCCGGTTGACGTGAGTCGCTAAAAAACGTCTTTGCTAAAGCTCCCTAATGTGAAAGGCTGGGTTCATCGAGCTTCCCTACTCTGAATGTGACAACTGCTACTTGTGCTGTGTTTTTGGCTGTACAACAGTCCCAGTACATACTGAAGAACGGTATTAAACTGTAGCCATGGACTAAAGCCTTTTTATGCTTTCTTTTTAGTGACTGTAGAACAGTGTTTTGGATTTCGCTTAGGAAATCACAGCGCCTTGTTTTTCACGCTTTTCATTTGTCGCTGGACGTTTCCAGCGTGAAGATGAGAGTTCACTCTTCAGGGGCACCCAACGACAATTTTCGGAAAAATATCTGTTCGGAAGACGATTTGAGATCGAGAATTTTCGGAACATTTGTTGTAAAATTTATTGCTTGCCTGCCTCTCCTAGGATTTTCGGACATCTAAAAAATGTTATAATTGCTTATTTTTGACGGATTTTTACCCTAAAAAGGTCACCTAGAATTTTCGGGAGCCTTTTTTCTGGCTGAAATTTTCGAAAAGGTAAGTTTTGATCCCTATAATTTTCGGATCACTAGACTTTCAGCTAAGAAATCCGAACAGATGAAAAATTTTTAGGGGATAAAAATATGCCTATATCTACCGTTTAAATACTAAAATACGTTCAACAATTCTATGTTTAAGTGGTTTTGAACCATATTCTCGTTGGGTGCCCCTGACTCTTGACGTTCATAAAAAATGTGTGAGAGAACTTTACTTTATTTTCGTTCTCGGATACATGGACAATCTTCACGCATCTCTGCCCATTTGCCATAAATCGACAAAAACGTGTTGCGCAACCTTGCTAACTCGGAAATACGTCCGGTAAAGCTCTCATTCCTTGTACAGTGGAACCTCGTTAATGCGACCACCGTTGGGCCATAAAATCCTGGTCGTAATAACGAGGTGGTCGCATTAACGGGGTCTTCAAAATAAGAAAATGACTCAATGGTTTTTACGTTTGGTTTGAAAGAATATGGCCGTAATAACGAGGTGGTCTTATAAACGGGGTGGTCGTAAGGCGGGGTTCCACTGTATTTACGTACTAGCTGCACCTCGGAAGTCCTGTGGGTTCTCAAAAACCTTATAAAGAAAAACAATATACCATTACCGATGTAAATATATCTGTCCCGTGTCTAAAAACCTATCAAGTACCCTGCCATGTGTGACCTGGAAACGCCTCAGCCTCACGACTTTATAAATGAAAAGAAATTTAAAATATTGATTGCCACGGCAAGGGCATATGTACGTGTTGCGGTCCTACGCTACAATGCTCGCGAGGATGTGTAACACTTGAGTGTCACGAGTTCGCTTTTTTCGCGTGCTAGCGAAACACGCAAATGATGTAACGGCTTTGATTAATAGGTGCAAAACAATGATATTTATTAAATCAACATAAAAACTTATTCCAGTAAATCGAGATGAACAACACTACGAAAACGTGCTAAACAATCCGTTCGTAGAGTTTATTTTCGGTTCAACGAGCTTTTGTTTTAGAGAGAGGTTATTTATAACGATATTGTATGGCGCAATGCAGCAGTGTCGGCAAACGCTTCGTCGCGCGACTCTTATTTTGGCTCACGCTGAGCACGCGAAAGTTTTTGAATTCTTTAGGTGGTAAACAGCACTTCAGTGAACTTCGAGTGATTATCAAGGAAGAAACGGAAAATCGAGAGTTTCTTTGTTTTTCAAAATTCCGGGATCTCCAAGATGGCTTGTGTATGAGTAGCAAGAAAGCGCACACGCCCTTGAGACGTAACCAAGTCAATCAAATTTGCACTTCTTAACGTGATTTTCATGGTTGGCTGAGTTATTTTTTACGTTATTATTATTTGCATATACTCATCAAATTCATTCACAACCAGCAGCGCGAAAGTTCACTGCCATTACGACCTGCATATTGACAATGTTGTTGAACAGTTTACTATTTCCTCTGCTTCTCGTACAAGCTCCTTCGCTTGAAGCTAAGGTAAGTAGCTAGAACTAAATCATCAGTTGTTTATTCTTAGAAACTGCAAGGTATAAAGGAATGAGTAACTTTTTTAAAGAAGAAGGATCTGTTCTGTCAACTTTTCAATTCAATGCCGTTGAAAAAGTAACGGGAGAGAAAGGCTTTCGCACCGTGAAAGCAAATAAATCTGTAACGGACGAATTCAATGTTGAGTCTTCGAGGAACACGTAATTTTAAAGCTTGCAGTCTGAAATATTACTTGCTGCTGATAAATATTGAGAAGATAAGCCGGGCTGTGTGTCAAGCGTTATATAAAAGCCCAGCACTTATTTCAAAATGCATGATACCTGCTTTTGAAGACATTTAGACATTTCGCGCCAAGAAAACACAGTTCATCGAAGTTTGGTATCTTTGTCATACGCAGCAAAAATCAGTTCCTAGCTCGGCCTTGAAGCATTAATTAGCAAGTGCCGTTTAATATTCATTGTTTTAAAATATTTAAGAAAGTTTTTGATTCACTGAAATTTTTACTTTTTTGTTGTTTACACGGTTCAGTGAACCTGCTGTTGCGCTACAGTATGCAATGTCAGAGAGAAAACTATATTGTGAAACAAAACTGTCGTTAACTTCTATGCCGTGTCCGGTCCTGCTTTCAAAAATGTGACGAAGAATTTCTCATCCTAATCTCTTAACAAATAGTTCTAATTCCAGGAGACGTAAAACTTACCGTTGTGTAGCATGCAACACTATAAACAACGTATAAACAAGGAAAATTAGAATATGATTACAAAAAAGTAGCATTCAAATGTATTCGGAAAATTTGCTAGACAATATACTTGCATAAAAATTCAACTCTTTGCGATTTTTAAAATTTTTGCATAATTTGTTTTCTGTATTAAGTACGCAAAAACTCTGAAAGGAGTTGTAATAATATGCGTGGGTTTCTTTCAGCCTTAGTTATTGATTAATTACTTAGTTACTTAGAAAACGCAAATCGTTGCATTGGAAATGATTCTGATCTCTCCTTTCATGTTTTCCCTCTGAAACTGACGGTCCCTCCCTGTGGCTTTCACGCCTCGCAAAAAATGCGGAAAAATCAGTGATCTGGAAATCCGACTATGATACACTGTATGAGTTTTTTAGCCGCTTTTAAAGTTGGTGCTTGATTACATAAGTTGAAAGGGTGATGGCGAGGCGCACGATTTGTCGTTCAGGGCAAGTTGGTCGGATTTATTCTTTTTTTTTTCAGAATATTGCTTTACTCTTTCTCCCTCAAGAACGGATTCTAGTCAATCGTTTCGGGTCACGTGGTCTGAGCAAGTTCGTCTTGGAAACTTGGTTACGTAACTGCATTGACCGAGAAGGCCTGGGAAGACGCGCAAAGTTGTACCCATTTATACAAATGGGTGGAGCAAATGTAATGTGGGTTCATTATTACGGAGGTTAGCAACAACGGCGGCGACGGCTTGCTAAGGGAAACGTCACTTAAAAAGTCGCGCTGCTTCAAACTTTATCGCGCTTATTCCATCTCGTCTAATTCGCCAAATGCTAGCAAATTTTTTTTTTTTTGACGTTGAATTCTAACGGACTGTGTCAAAATTCTGGAAAAGAAAAAGAAAGTCGTTGTCTTGTGTGTACATCCTCAAAAAAACGTGAAATTAGGAATTTTCACGTTGTAGTCGTGCAATGACGGCAAAGAAATGTACAAAAAAGCGTGATGCACGTGCAGAGTTGTTGTGTTGCTAATCTTAACCAACTGTTTTTTTTGCCTTTCTCGCTGATGTCGCCGTTCTATTGTCATATGGACAACCGACAGAAGTTTCTTGTTAAATGGGACTGAACACCATGATGGCAAGGTCTGAATCCGCAATAGACACTGTAACTTCCTAAAACAATTGAGATTACAAAGACGTGGTTAATGTCAAAATAGCGATTAACACTTTTTAAAATCACTTTCTTTCTGCCACCCACAGGAATTGATAAAAAAGCACTTTACACTTTTAATTGATTAATGTATCAGCTAAATAAAACCTAGTCTGTGAGCAATCTTTTTCTTCTATTTTTTGTTGAAGTTAGTTCAATCTCGTTTTTCTTCTCTCTTTGAACGACACCCTCGTTTCTCGTGTCTCTTGGCTCGTGAATCGTCCCCAACGCATCTCTAGATCAAGTGCTCGTATCCTCGATGAAATCTAAAAGTTTACAGCCAACAGCTTCCTCTCTACAAACACGTTTGGGACCGGAACTGCATATGTGTCGAAATTAGAGAGAGTCTATAGAGTCCTCTGAACAGCGAATATCGAGCGTAAACCGCAGCAAATGCGGCGTTTCTTCCTGGTCTACTAATAACAACAACAGCAACAACAAACTTTATTCATAAACCGACAATATTACAGAAGCATTTCCCGCAGCTTGCAAGGATATTCGAGGCGGGACAATGAGAGCAAAATATGAAATTAAGACTTAAGGCTAACTAAGGAAAGTTTACAGTTTACAAATAAATGAAATCAAAATCGTAATATGGATGACGACTAGATAACACAACAAAGAGGAAAGAATTAACCAAATAAATTGTAAATTTAGAAACAAATAAGCAAGAATCTATTTTTCGACGTTTTGGGCTAATTTTACCTTTTTTAATTACGTGGGCGTATCAATATATTGTCATCTTCTGAATTGAAAATATCAAAAAGTAATTTGCGGGTTGTTTTGTTTTGTTTTTTAATTTATTTTTAGGGAGATGTCGGATGTGATGTATACTGAATCTCTTAAAGTAAGATCTCTGTCAATCGCGAGCTTTTTGCCTGAATAGGAATGAAAAAGGCAGGACTTTATAAGCTTTTCCCAAAGGCTCGCAGGCTACGAACGTCAACTCGTGTCAAAGCATAGAAAGAGCGCAAACACGCACAAGCAAGCCGGCTTCCCACTTTCTCACCTTTTTTTCACCCATACGGCTTCCTGAAATGTTATAGCCTGAGTATCAGGCGTTTCTGGGGAAAAGGGGAAAAATGGAAGCGAAAAACTCTTCTCCCCTAGCCCCGTAGAAAGGCCTGATACTCAGGCTAGAAATGTTACAAAAAGGGATGTCTGCTTAAACAACTTGTATTATGCAACAAACAGCGTGTAATGAGAGCTTACACTTGACAACCACTGTGTAAACACGAGGCAGTTTGGTTCTGTCCTTTTCACAGACTTAAGTACACAGAAACACACGCAAAGAGACAGCTACGCAAATTGCTCATTACACGCCCCTGGAAAAAAAAGCGTTTTGTTACAACAAAAAGTTGAAAAAAGAGGCTCACAAAACGTAAACGTATTTGCACGTGCGTACTTCGTGACGCACAAGTTTCTAACGGCAAACATCGGATATGCATATCTTTTTCAACTTTTTGGCTTCCATAAATCACTTGCATTTTGTTTTCGAGCTTTCGCTGGCGCTCCGTATACTAGCTTTTTTCAGCTTGGTTCACTTCTTTGTCGAAAAATGATTAAATTCAGTGAAGACGTGGGAAAATAATGAAAAAATGAAAAATCGCGGAATAAAGGCCATCTCCCCGAGAGACAAAAGTTTCAACAAAATGCAAACTGAAATAAAGCTGACGAACATATCAAAAACTAAAGATTAAAACGAAGTTGGAATTTATATGCTAAAAATGTTATTCGTTTACAAAAAATCGTGTTATTATCGGAGAGGTACTTTTATATAACTGTGAGCTTAAAATTATAAAAGCGGCATCTTTTTTACCATATTCAGAACGTATTGTGTCCTTCTGATTCTGGTCCGGCTACGCAAGAAACTTGTCGACTTCCACACTAGACAATGTCACTGACAGCGCTATTATAGACATACATGGAATACATAAGTATTTTTGACTTTTGCTCAAGAAAATCCTGGATGGACGTGTACCGGTTTACCTCTCTGAGAAACTGTTTTCTTTGAAATACCAATCGGTTTTCTATTCCACGTACCAATAGCATGAAGCGGATGTTCGTTTACAATACAGTAAAACTGTGGAACAAAGTCAGTGAAAATGCTTTAGTCCGTTCTTCCAATGTAAAGAAGTTCAAAAGAAGTTTGTTTGATTCAGTCATGTGTAAATTTACGCCTGACAGTTTTAAAATTGACTTTTTAAAACAACTTAATATTTTCTTAAAGTTTTTATCCATGTGTAAATTCGAGTAAATTCAGATATTGAAATTATCTCTTACTTTAGTATTCTAGTTTTTTAGGATTTTTTTGAAAGTTTAGTAGCGTCATAGGGCCATAAAGTGAGGTAGACTGTTCACAGTCCTCCAATTGTTCCGTAACATCACCGTGATCGAGCGGTTTGTGTTGCGGGATGCCATCTTGCACGAGTGTCAAAACTACTTAGGGGGCGGCCCAGAGCTATAGGGCGCTTTCCATTTAGGAAAAAACCCCGGAAATTTCGGTGGGAGCAAAAGTGGAATTTCCGATTGGTAAAAAGTTGTTCCATTTGGTCTTAAACCCCGGTACGTCGCGGTGCCCGACCGTGGACCTGGAACTGGTACAAACTACGAGAAACGTAAATGGAACACGACATTCCGTTCGGAAATTCCAACCGGGAAAACGGGCCCACCTTTTTAGATTTTCCACTTTTTCTGGGAATTTTCCAGTGGGACGAGCCGACGAAACGTGTTCCATTTACCGCCGAACCAGAAATTCCGGAAATTTTGACTAAATGGAAAGCGCCCATAATCTCCAATGCCCGTCCCCTCGGTACATTTGAAAATCAAGATACCCGTGACGGTAAGACGCGGTATATCTAAACGATCTCACGAAAAAATAGGGGACTGTGAACAGTCTATAAGTGAGAGTACAGTTGGTCGGTAATTATGCACCCTATTGAAATTTAAGTCTTCATTCCTTTTTCTATTTGTTATAGACGTTTTAATAAAGCTTTACTATTACTGAATTCCTATCGGCCATTGATATAAAGGTCCTTTTCAAGTATTCGACTAAAAATGTATGACACAGATCCTTTTAAGTCGCTTCTACTTCCCAAACAACCGTAAGACTTCCTGGGATTCGAATCGAAAACCATAAACTTTATCACAAGATGCCAACTCTACGTTTCAAACATAAATAAAGCAACCTAACGATGTAACCAAGGCCGGTATTGATGCAGCTTACGTGCAAATAAAAAGCACTTTCTCACAGAAACGATTTAAAGTGGTCTGTTGTGATTTTCATTTTCATAAAAACGATTTAAAGTGGTCTGTTGTGATT